AATCAATCGCATACACCGAAACACATGTATATTATAAAAAAGGTGAGGAAAGTGAGTGCTAGAGAGGATGAACCATTACAACTTGGTACTTACTACTTACGTACTGCTATTTATACATATTAATATTATGTATTTATGCTATAATAATTTATTAAAATATATACACATGTATAATTAGAACTCGGCGTTATTTCACTCACATAAATGTACATAGTATTGTAAGTTAGATATCTTGGAGAAAAAAATAATGCGATCCATATAATATGAATATTAAGTCAAAATGTCAAATTATTATGTTTTTATAGTTTATTTACAAACTTCTTCAGTAAAAAACTTAAGCGTAACTATAAAGGTTAGTCACGTAAACGACGGTTTCTATCAGCTCTTGAGTCTATTAACTCGGGCAACATCGCTTGGAAATAAAAATTTTCTAGCAATGTTTTCATTTTGGTTTCGAAAAAATCATCATCTCTTAAAATTTTTTGGTATAATATACCTGTAAACATACGTACGTGGAAATCAATTTACGATAGTTATTAGTATTACCAATATTTATTTGTAATTTAAGCATTATAATTACCTTTAGGTGACCATATTATAAAATAACAAAACAATCTTTTAGTTATTTGTAATTGACCCATAACTTGAAAATAGTATTTGTCACTTTTTTTTAACTGTAGATTTCCTTGATTGTCAACAGTTGCAAATTTTAATTTTCCAGTTTCTATAGCTTCTTTTGGAGTTAATTGTTTAATTGTAGATGGACATTTTATTTCAACTATACCGTTATCATCTAATAGTCCATCCGGACTGGCTGCTAAAAACGGTAGTTGTTCATAAATGAAAAGGCCAGATTCTTGAATTTTAAGCCCTGTTAGTTTTTGAAACTCTGTCTTCGCAAAGGGTTCGCACTCAATACCATATCTTGTATGCTCATTTCCGCAAAATGTTTTATACAACATTGACTTAATTGTATTAGCTCTAGACGTCGCCGGTCGAAGTTTACAAATGGTTCCAAAGTTTGACGCGGTTAAACGAATTCGTCTTTCTTTATGCCATAATTCACATTCTGATTGAAGTTTAGTCGATTCTTCAATTAATTTGATTTCATTACTATTTTTTATAATTTTATTCGTTATAAATTCTAATTTAAGTTTTTCGTAATCATTTTCATCCATATCCAATTCTTTACAAATATCTTCTTCACAATTGCCATAGTCTTTATCTGCAGGTAAGCTAACTTTGGTAACTCGTCTACTACTTGGTTCATATGTAAGTTTTCTGTTTGTTTTACATATTGTCGTCGTCTGTTTTCTATTTATAAAACGTTTGGTAAAAACACCAGGACTTTTATTGCAAATTTTTTTGTGTAAAACACTTAAAGATGTTGCCCCTGCATTATATGACAACACTGCCGCGGTACACCTCGCTTGATATGACCCTTTATGAGAAAAGTTTATTCTCTTTCCACCTACATATTTAGCAACAACGCTATTATAACCTTCGACCGAATTATTGTTTACATTATAAATCAAACTTGAGGAACGATGAGCTAATAGATTTCTTGCTGACATAGGTATAAACTATAAATACTAAACATTTTTAAAACTTCAAGTAAAATACAAATTGAATAAATATTAATAATTAAAAAGGTAATAAGATAAGACGTTATTAAGGTAATTAATAGATTTGTAATATTAATACTTACTTTTTTTAAACCATTCAGGGCATTAATGTTACCTTTATTTTTCTTTCTCTTGGATAAAAGAGTCTTAGTTTTTTTTCCATAATGCCAGTCACTTTTACTGTCCATAGCACCAAAAATGAAAAATATGTAAATACTTTATATAAAAATTCTCTCTTTAGATACTGCACATTATACTATTACCTAACCAGACTAATCGAAAATCAAAATAAGAATATGATTTGTGCTTGCCGTTTAATAATATTACGTACCGGCAGGGGACCAAAACAAGTACGCAGGGCGATATATATATTTATTATTATTACAATAATATAATATTTATTAGAATTAAGCACACCGCCGGCAATCGTTTTCTTATCTTGTAATATTATATTCCAGGAATCGAATGTTGGCAGTTTATTTTCAATTAGGACCGCCGCCGTGAATTTTCGCACGCGCAGGCACATGTCAACTATACAGATTTTATCAAATATACTCATGCTATTCAAATGACAAAAATGCCAAAAAGCTAGACAAAACTGTGGGACTTGGGTACGACAGATTTTAATTTAGAAAAAATATATTAATTAGTCATTGTGTTAGTTAGGGAATGATCGAGGGGATTTTATTTATTCAAATTATTCGATAAGATATCAACAATTTACAAAATAAGAATTTTGGTATTTTATATATTTAAGTACGGCATTAATTTTTGTTATAATGATACATTTTCACGACCATGCTTTAGTAGAGTTGTTAAAGATTTTCAATTAGTTTTCAAAATTAAAATCCGTCCAACCCAAGTCCTACAGTTTTGTCTAGCTTTTGGCCTGTTTTACGTGATTATTGGTACCGGCTGCAGCCCCCTTAAGTATTGAACCTGTTGCCCGTTAGCCGTTCAATGCATATCATACAAAGCAGTGAGAATTAAACACTTTTATAACATATATCAGTCACAAACCAGATAAAAATAATAATATTATATTAAATACAATATTTTATGTTTTGTTAAATAATAAACAACATGTATGCTTAAATAAGAATAATCATCGAATACAATATTATGACTTAAATTGTACATTTAAAATCATTATGAACTTTAAATTTTTTAAATAATTTTATATGGTGATTATTAGTTTCTAAAATATAAATTAATTAGTTGTAGAACTTCAAGAACGGTCTTTAAAATACAAAAATATTTCATTATATGAATACAATTAACAAGTAGGTTGTTATTAAATAATGTACTGGTACTCTTATTTCAGAAATCATTAATATTACATTTCAGTTTGGAAAAATAAAAATTGTAAATAATAATATAATTTAAATTCACCCTTAAAATATATTTTAACAGTATCAATCAAATAAGTTTCATATTAAATAACAGACACTAGGAGACACTTCTTCAAAATAACAACTATTTTTATTATTATTACATGCTTTTCTTTAACTCACAATGTTTCATTCCTGTTGTCATCAAATCTTGGGCGCTCGATTTGAGGCACTTATTTACGATGAAAAATTCTGAAAATTGGTATAGACATAGGTCTTGGAAGGCAATACAATAATCCTTTGTCATTTTGGGACCCGGCCCTCCAGGTCGGCGATGACGGGTGTGCAAAGTCATCTCCGAGGAAGAAGAATAAATAATATACAGGTACGAAATTTTGTTTATAAACGGTTTCCATGGGTTATAAAACTATTATAATAATAATTACTTTTAACGCGTTTCATTGTTACAACAGTAAGAAAATCCTTAAAAAAAAGAAATGCATAGGGATCTTATGAGTCAGGAATATCTCTTACAAAATTGGAAGTGTGATCAATAATCTTTAAAATATTTATCATAAAGTTTATCTAAAGATTCAGTTGTAGAGTGCCCTTACGTAGGAGTTATCATAAGTGCCCCATGCATTTCTTTTTTTTGTAATTCAGAATTTTTAAAAATTGTTCAACAAATACATTTTATAAACACTTTTAGTAATATCTTGTTAACCTTGAAGTTTCATTAAGAAATTGTTTTAAAAGTAAGTTTATTTTCAACTTTTTCGTTCATTTATTAAGTAGTATTAAGAAAAGTAGGTTTTTAAAAATTATTTTTTATTTTTTTTTTAAATTCAATTAATTTTGACTAGTTTGTTTACTTGCATAATATATATTTATCATATGTCTTTTTATCAGTTATAAATAATGTTAGAATTATTGAACAGTATTATTTAGCAACCCTCAGTACTCACATTTTCTTTGTGTAGATTTGTGGTTATAGAATAATAGTTAATGTATTGTAACATACTTAGGTATGTAAAATTTTATTTAACAATTTAATTTATTAAATTACCAGTGTATTGAATACCGGTGTCATAATTGTAAATCCAAATAGATTTAAGAAATAACTAATAATAAAACAAGTACTAATATTAGCACTGGCAATCAAAGTTAAAATTATTTGAACATATTAACTGAAATAAATTAAAAACCCTTACGTCAATAATATTATGAATGAAATGGACGGGCAATAACAATATTGGAAAATATATATGTAGAATAAGAACTTATTTGTAAGTACACATAATATATTAATACTTTCAATTACAATAACTAACATTAACATAAACTAAAACCAGAACAAATATAAATAGTTTTCAAACCAGATACCTATTCTTTATACATTATAAGAAATGTTTTGTTTAACAGCATTTAATAATTTTGTTAATGATTTATTTGAATATAATTGTTTTTTTTTTTTTTTTGTGTATTTAGATTAATGTAAATATAATACATTAATAAATAAATAGGAAACATTATTAATTATTATTATTAATATTATTTATTAATACTAACATCTTTGTAATATAAATGTAATTAATGGAGTGCGTTTTGAAATATATTTATATATACTTATTCCTTTATTTTAAAGGTAATGTATAAACCATAATTTTGTTATAATATTTTTTGTACAATAAGCTTACATCTGTTTCATAATTCACATATTATGAGGAACTTATTCCAATAATCTAATAATAAAAGTAGAGTAAAAATTAAATCTGACCGCCATTTTGTCCTTAAGGTAAAAAGCAATAATTTAACTTAATAATATTCACTTTAATGTCTTTAATGTCTCTTCTAAATTTTTTTTTTTATCATACATCAGAATTGAACCCTGACGAAGTAATATTTATTATGCAGTTATAAAAACCTTTATCATAAAATATTTGTTAACTTTTTACACACAACTAAGCATGTAATTTACATACAGTTCAAATAAATAACTTATAGGGAAAAATGAATGATATAAATATGTAAGCTTATTTCTCCTTTATTTGCGTATCTTCCATGATCCTGTACGGTATCGAAGCCATATTGCTAATACATCAAAACCCATTTCCAACCAACTCCACACAGGGACTATTTTTGAGCCTACATAAAATTAATGAATTAATATCTTAAAAATTAAATTTTACTTTATATTGTATATTGTATTACCTTCGATCTCTGTCCAATGAACTGGTACTTCAGCTAATTGCAATTTCAACTTCTCAGCTATGTATAACATTTCTACATCAAAAGCCCTAATAAATTACAAAACAAATGTAAGTAAAAAAATAATAATAAAAGTTTATAAAATATAAATGTTATTAGAAATATTGTAATATTGTTTATATGTACCATCCATCAACATGTAAATTATTAAACAAGATTCTTGCAGCTGGCCGAGTGAATAGTTTAAAGCCACATTGTGTATCTTTGATTGTACGTACTCCAAATATCCAGACATGCATATGAAAGCACATCATCAAGAAAGTTCGGAATACACTTCTTTGAGCCTTAGATTCCGTTTCTAAGTGGGCACGTGAGCCACACACAACCGCATAAACCGTTTTAGCACCTTCAGTAACATCATCTAGTTAAATCAAAAAAAAATAATTAAGTGTTAATGAAAATTTAAAAATTCTTTTATATGTTATTTAAGACAGTGATGCAATTGGTGATAGGTTAACAAATATAACATAATTTGAATACAAGTAAAATTGAATAATCTAACAGAAATTCAGCTGTTGGATAAGATAAAAATTAAATAACCAATAACCTAGTTATATATAAAATGTAAAGCATGTATCTGTTACTGTTTAAGTATAAAATCTGTTATTTTTTAATTTAACATACTGTTTTAGTTAAAGTACTTATATTAAAATAAAATAAAATAATACTATATCTAAAAATTGTATACAATAACTAGTTTTTCCATATAACCCCGATTGAGAATATGTTTAAGTATAGATATAAAATAATTATTTTGATATTAAAAAAAATTGATTACATTCAGGAACAATAATATATTTTATACTTGAAATATATTTCACATATAATTAGAATTTAGAATGAAATGGAAATCCAGAAAAATAAAATTAAAAAATTGACAATATTACATGAAAAATATTAACAATATGAAAATACCTACAAAATGTTTTATTTAATATTACAACTAGTTAACAATATTTTCAAAATTAAGTTGATTTATTAATTGCCTGTATTTGAAACGTGGTATACATATACCTACTATTTATTATTATAAGATTGACTTTGGTGAAATTTTGAATTATACGTTATACCATTCCTACGACACATAAAATTGGTTCGTAGTACATCGACATTTAGAAAATCTTGACCATTTCTATTTTTTATTTAAAAATATATAAATAACACGTTAATAGATACGATAAGTAATACGTTAGTGGTTAGTGTAGTCTTAATAAAATATAATTTAAGTAATAATACTTAAAAATATAATACTTTATGTTCCATTCATTATTCCTTAAATATCTTAACTATTGAGAAACAAAACCAAGCTTTTCAGTTTTCTACAAAATGCCTACCTAAATGTGCAAAGATGATCATTTTTTTACAACTTAAGAAAAAATACTTATATTATGTATTTGTTTTTAGTTAAATATCTCTTATTATTACTTGCTGCCAAGAAGTGTAGTACTGTTTCCAATTTTTCTAAATCTTGAAATCTTGTAGCACCATCAGCATCAGCAAATAATAAGGTACGTCCACGCGCACTTTTCATTCCCTGTGTGAAAAAATATGTTAATAATTTGATATTTGTGATAGGTATCATAAATTAGTAAAAATTCAATAATTCTACTCACCAAGCAAACAGCACCTCCCTTTCCACGATTTTTGTATAATTTTAAAAGACGTATACGATCAGAACCATACTGTTGGACATATTCCATGACAATATCACATGTCCCGTCGGTACTCCCATCACTAACAACTATCACTTCAAACGACCATTTTCGGCTGACATCAGTCAAGAAATGTAAGCATGATTCAAGCATAGGCCTTACTAATACAGAATTGTTTTAAAACAAATAAAATAAATAGGTAAGGTAAACCTGTCTTACTCCTGTCTTGTTCGTTGTACGCAGGCACTATGATCGACAAATCCAAAGTGCCTTCATCCTCCAGACTGGGAAACGGCACTTTTCTGGCATTTTCGTCAATGAAGTGTTTTTCATTATCAGACCTATGCTTGTGCGCGTAAGGAGAGTCCTTAAAGTACAACATCCAGAACACCAACGTCGTCAACAGTACCTGAAACACGGAGGATGTTTAGTGTGAGAACGAACGAAAAACGCGACTACTCACTATGACAGCGAGAATTCCTTGCACTGGAAGTGACAACAAGCCACACATACAGAACATCGTCGACGAACCAATACAATTTATTAATTATTATCGCAATCCCCGCCGTCAACACCTACACGTCATGCCGATGTGTACAAGCTACAAGGTGCAAAGGTGAGTACTTCAAACAAGTTGAAACGTCGATAAAACTATAGATGAGATCCGGAATGCAACAGACGGAGCTATCCGTGATGCGTCTCCGCGGCGTCCCTTATCAGTTGGCTGTCGAATTTCATTCCTTATCATTATGGGGGTAAGAAAGACACGTACAAAATAGGTATATGCCTTATCAGAAGTAATGTTTGATTAGAATAATTTATTGTTTTCTATTTCATTTTGCCATACGTATAAAATAGTTTACGTTTGCTGATAACAGTTTTGTTTCTTACCGATTAAAATTTTAAATTCATTACTCAGTTTAATATAAATGTTATGCTATATTGTTTATCGCTGTTCATTAATTTAATTATACATTCATACACATTTCCAGGTGACGACTGCACAAATGTGTTGCGTCGACACCGAAATGAGTAACAAAAATAAAATCTTATGTTTTTGAACTAAAAAATACACGTCCTACCACATATCCTATAGATGTTATATTTTTAAACCAAAAAAATGAAGTTTTCGTTTCATTTTTCATTGATAATTTTACTGCTCATTCGACACGGCTCGTGTTCACGTCATTACGATAGACACCGTCTCTTACAGTTGAGGTGTGTCTCGAGGATTTCCTATTTTTTGTCCCAGTCAATAGAAAAATTAAATTTGTTTTTTTGTTTTTTGAAGATCTGAAGTGAAAGAAATGTTTGAACATGCATATCACGGCTATATGAAGTATGCTTATCCTTATGATGAGTTACGACCATTGACATGTGATGGTGTGGACACTTGGGGCAGGTGAATATTATACACTTTCTTCATTCATTTCAATAATGAATAAATAATAAACATGTTATGACTTATTTATAGCTATTCATTATCATTGATTGATGCCCTAGACACTCTAGTTGTAATGGGACTACACGATGAATTTAACAAGGCAGTTGACTACATAAAATATAATGTTTCCTTTGATGCAGATATCAATGTATCAGTTTTTGAGACAAACATAAGAGTTGTTGGTGGACTGCTAAGCGCTCATATGTTATCCCATCGGTATGATATATTTTTTTTTAAAACAACATAAATTACAATACATAATATATCATAAGTGCTGTCATAACTAAATGTAATTATTACTATTGTTATTATTGTTCTTTGTTCTTAGAGCTACAACTGAATTAGAAATTGGATGGCCATGTAATGGACCACTGTTACGTATGGCTGAAGATGTAGCTAGAAGACTATTACCAGCATTTGATACCCCTACTGGTATGCCTTATGGGACAGTTAATCTTCGATCTGGTGTACCCGAAGGCGAAACAACTGTAACTTGTACAGCAGGAGTTGGTACATTCATATTAGAATTTGGAACCTTGTCCCGACTAACTGGTGATTCTATATTTGAACAGGTAAACCATAAGTAACATAAGTATACCATAGTATTATTATTCAGCAATATTTTAAAATACGATTGATTTTTCTCGAATTCAGTTGAGGTGTTTTACAATTTAAGTGAACTGGTAACAATTAGTGTATGTTTAATAGTAATAAGTTAAATAAGAAATATTTATTTATAAGTTAGTTAGTTATAACTAAGTTATTTATATAATTGCATAATACTATAGTACATTTTCTATCTTCTAAATGTGTAAGTTTGGTACAAATGTTTTAGATAAATATTTGGATCATAAAATACCTATTAAATTAATTTATAAACAGGGTGTTCTACAATATTTGTTGTAAAAGCAAATAATTAATTTCTATTAAGTATTTACTTTGCACATTTTTGTGATTTTTACGTATTTGTCACAATTCAAACTTAAAATGCTTATAAAGAACATTAGGACTGTATTTTAATATTTTTCAACTTCAACTGCAACAGTATATTTGGAGCATTGTATTCAATTTTCAAGCTTTGTGACCTGATGAATAAAATTTTATTGGTATATGTAGAAAAAAAAGCTAAAAAAATTTGAAACTGAAAATGTCAGTGGACCACTCAAGACAGTCAACATTTTTTGAAAATCTTATGGTGTAAAGAAAATTCTAATATAAATATTCCTTTAAAATTTCATGTATCTATGGTTATTTGTTTTAGAGTTGCACCAAAGACCAAAGTGGATTTTGTCGAAAACTGATTTTGCATAAAAATCCTTAATTTTTTATTTGTTTTTCTCGGCTCTTTTGAAAATAACACTAAATGTTGAACTCCTCAATGCACCAACTAAATTCACTTTCCCATCAAACAAGATACTGTTGACAAAAATACTGTCACAAAAAAAAACACATTATTGTGAATTCAATACATTCATGGCTCTGCTCAGAATATAAAATAGTTGGAAAAAAGTTATTGACAATGACAAACACAGTAGGATACTAGTCCGAAACGGAAAACGCGGCGTATTACGTCCGTTAAGTATAGCTAATCCAATAAAAACCAATGCACTTTTAATTCGACGAAATACGACCCGGCTTAAATGCACATTAAATGTATTAATTTAAAATTAATTTTCCTATTTTAAAAACTTCCATTGAGGTTCTTGTGAATAATTTATTTAAACATATTAAACATTTAAATATTGTTGTAAAATCCAAGGTTTTATTTTACCACATAATTTTAAGAAATTACATTTTAAAAACCATTGTTTTTATCAATATTGGTTTCAATGTCTAAATTTAAAAATTTTTAATATTTATATTTAGATTATTTATCTTAATTAAGAATTAACGGTTTGAAGTAACTTCCATTTTGGGTTTTGTATATTTAAATAAACAACACTACTACTACTAAGTAATGTGATTTTCTAAAATAAGTAATAGCCTAATCAATCATTATAATATGTATAATAGATAAAATTCATTATAGTTCAAATAAAAATTAAGTAACTTACAATGCAAGAATAGTTATAGTCATAGTTAAGAATATTTATTTATAAAACTCTTTTATAATTTACTATATTATAATACTACATTTTATGATTCAATAAAAATAATATTTATTAAATAAATTTAAGGAACAGTTTCTGCAATCTGGCAATAGTAGATTAGTAACGTTTTATGATTATTATTAAACCATTTCAACCTAGATTCGTACAGGTATGAAAATACTGGAAACTGGATAATTACATTTAGGATCTCTATTTTAGACTTCTTTTCCACAAATTAAACCAATATAATAAAAAAAATTCATCCATTTAAAATGGTTTAAAATTAGAAATGTTATTAAAGGGTGACAATATGCAAGCCTGGTCATGTTAGTGATCATTTATAATTAGTCTAAGTCAGAATATTTTTAAAAAACAGCTTACTATTTATATACTTAAGTTAATTTAAAAATATAATAACTTAGATTATAAGTTTGTCGATTAAAAAACCAACTAAGTTACCAAAAAGTTTGAAAATAGTTATATACTTACTACAAAAAACATAATTTATTTATAATACCAAAATCATTAAATTATAATAAATATGACTCAATGATAAAATATTTTAAATTTGCATGATATTAAATTAATTTACATACAATTTTGATTACATTTTAATAAGTGTTTGTTTAAAATTTTGAATTTTCAGGATTTGAAAATTTTTTACATTATTTAAGAATGGTTTATTAAAAAATCTTTTGAATAACTTTATAATTTTTAAAAAAAATAACTAGTTAAGTTATCAAACGTGCTACTAAACAAAGTAACTTCTAACATTCTATTTAGTGCCCAGCATTGACAATATGACATAAAACTATAATAATATAATAATATTAAAATATTTGTATTGCAAATACACATTTTAATATGTCAATGGTATAGTTTTATTTGTTAAATCATTTTTATTAGCTTAAAAGATTTGAAATATTAAATATAATAATTTAATATTTAAATATAATAAATGATTTAATACCCCTTTACCAAATCATATTAAATTAATCAAAATCTTTCACATAATTTATATAAAAATAATTAGAAATATAAATCATAATCTACGGCTAAAGATAATTCAAAATGTACTAAGTAAATAATACATAACATTTTTATTTAATATGAATGGAAAATATATAAATATTTATTTGCGTTATTATTGTACTTATATCTTAATAACTAATACATTTTTAATTGAGTAAAAGTATTATTATTTTAAACCCATAATTTTAACTGTTTTCATATTATATTAATTATGAAAACACACTTTCCTAACATTCCAGGTTACAACAGTGGTCTAAAATGTCTACAAATGTTTTTTTTTTATTATTTTAAATATAACTGTAAGTGATATTTTATTATTTGTTAGGTAGCTTTAAAAGCTCTTCATTCATTGTTCAACCATAGATCTAAAATGGGATTAATGGGTAATCATTTGGACGTGGCCTCTGGATTGTGGATTGCACATGATTCAGGCATTGGTGGTGGGATTGATTCATATTTTGAGTACTTAGTTAAAGGATCTTTGCTATTTAACTTGCCTCATTTAAGAAGCATGTTCGATGAGTTAAGAAAGCCTATTGATAAATACTCAGCAACTTCCACAGGGTGGTATTTTTGGGTGAACATGCAAAAAGGCCAAGTAACAATGCCCATATATCAGTCATTAGAATCATATTGGCCTGGGCTTTTAAGTCTAATAGGTAATTATACCTTAATATCATTAATAATTCGGATATTTAATAGTATATTGTCATTATAAGATTATCCCTAAAGATTTGCTTTGATTTTATTATTTTAATTACCATATGGTTAACTTTTATGATATTTTAAATATATGTTATTCTTTTAGGTGATATAGATATTGCCATGAAATCGATGTCAAATTATCATGATGTACTTAAATTATACGGTTTTACCCCTGAAGTTTACAACGTTGTCAATCAAGAGTCTGCTAGAGATTCATTCCCATTACGACCTGAATTAGTCGAGTCTGCCATGTATCTGTACAAGGCAACTAACGGAGATCCTTATTTATTAGATATAGGTAGCGACATTCTACGTTCCATTCAACACAGTAGCCGCACGCGATGTGGATATGCAACGGTAATATATTTATTTTATTTTACATTTTTACTATACTCATATTTGGTACAGTTATAATACATATAAACATATTAGGTATTTTATAGAGATTTTTTTTCGATATTTATGAAATTGAAACTTATTTTTAATATAAAATACAAATATTAATATGATAATAAGTAATAATAAATTTAACTAAAATAAAAGCATGTTTAATTCAAATATAGTAGACTTATTAGGTCTTTATTTTTAATATGTAATACTATAAATTTTAATTATTCATCATATTGTTTCATACTTTTATTTTGAAAAAACCAAGTATTATTGCCATATTTGGATTTAATCTTTTCATTTTCCTATCACAAATAATTACAGCTCTAATTAACAAATCCTCATAAGTTACTTACACTCCTGAAATACTAAAGTTTATTTTTTAAAAAAATAATCCTTTACAATATAAGTATAATTTTAGTTTTAAAATCATTGGATTCTATTTACTTTATTATTTTAGTGGTACAAATTTATTGTGATCTATTAAAATGATTGATAATTTATTTCCCCATAAATACTTCTTAATTTTTAAGTATTTGACGTGCAGACTGGTATAACATCAGGAATATGTACCCCATAAAATGTTGATCCACTACTCTGTTCATCTTAACTTTAAATAATTATACCTAATTAACTTCTTGTTCTAAATTTAATTTTTACATATCAAATTCCTCAGAAAAATATTCTGGTTTGGAATATGAAATCGTAATATTGGTCTAAAATATATATTTTTTTTAAAAATATTTTTGGGGTGTTTGACTAATAAAAATGAGCTGCTATACTTACAGATTTTTTATTTATAGACCAAATGCATGCCCCTGATTGACAAGTTATTTCTGTTAAGCTTTCACTAGCTATCAAAATAAAAGTATATTTTAAAAAGTAACTCCTACATTTCTAATACTACTATATTGTACAATGTACACCCTAACCCTCATTAAAACTTCTCATTTTGAAATTATATAAAGTCAATATTAATTTTGACTATGATAAAGTAATACAAATTAAGTTATGGTTTTATAGATTAAAATAAATAATTTTGGTTAATTTGAAACTATTTTAGTTGATTAGATAAAATAAAATTGGTTTTACCAGGTATTCAATTTAATACAAAATAACTCACCTAGGTAAAAAAAAGTGTTAATGAATTCAAAGCAAAAATGATAATTATATTAAAACCTTATATTAACTTATTCATTTAAAATTGTTTATTTTTAGATTAAAAGTTGCAAAAAACATTCTCTTCAAAATAGGATGGAGTCATTTTTTCTTGCTGAAACAACCAAGTACCTATATTTACTTTTTGACCCCGATAACTTTATACATAATGATGGAAGTCATGGTAAAGTTTGGAAAACAGCCGGGGGCCGTGAATGCATAGTCGACGCAGGTGGATACGTTTTCAACACAGGTAAAAAGCCTTTATTCCTAAATGCTGTAACATTGCCCAACTTATATTTTAGATTCTGAGCGGAGTGATAATAACCTGTAAGATTTCTATTAGTTTTACAATGATGTAATATTTTCTCTAATCTTAGACTTTGCAAGTGGTTTTTGCAACAAATTTTATAAAGATTATAGATTCTGCGTTAGGGGATCAAAAGTATGAAATGTCCACTATTTTTTTTTTTAATAATTGCGATTAACTAACCAAATAATGAGAGAAAATGGAAATAAAATATATTGAACACTAATTTTAGACAAAATCAATTTTTTTTTTTTTGTGATTCAGAATGGAATAATTGTCTTGATTTGAATCTTTTCGCCATTACTTATATTATTATTATCCATACATAGTGATATTTTTAAAATGTTTAGTCTAATTTCAAGTTAATTATTCCATGAATCTATTCACACCATTATACTGTGTGTTGACATTGACTTATAAGTTATATACAAATTATATCTTAGCAAACATTAGTTCAATCTATCATCATTCTAAGAAAATTCTAATTCTAATAATATAATGTCTTTACTCATTGTTAATTATTATAATATAGATTATCCTTAGAAATATATAGTGATAATATATATTATGTATTCAATTGTCACCTTAAGTACAATATGATTGAGCAGCTTTTTTCTACTTTTCCAAATTTAGGCCCGGTTTTTCAATCATCCATTTATTCGTCAGATAACTATTCGTCGAATAAACTTATTCAGCAAATAAACTTTTGAATAAACTAGTAAGTGTTTTTCAATACAAATTTATTCATCGAATAGTTATTTGACGAATATAATTATTCGGTAGATAAACTAATTTGTGGTACTGATAGCAGTGATATTAATAGTGGATTGTGGAACAAGTTGTATATACTTTTGTTTATGATTGGTCAACATATTCTTATCAATGATACTCGTATTATCAATGTATTATTATTATTAATATTATTCATTTTATTATTATTATATTTTCGATGAAATTATTAATTAATTTGTTGTTCATCGTAATTTGAAACTTGAGTTTTTGTTGTGTTGTGCTACGAAATGGTATCAAAAAATAATGAACTTAAAAGGGCAAGGGCTACTAATTTTTCATTCACCGAAAAAGAATTATTACTGAAATATGCTGTAGAGAATCAAAATATTTTAGAAAATAAGGAATCAAACGCTGTGTCTTGGAAAGATAAGAACAAATGCTGGCTTAAAATTGCTGAGCAGTATAATTCAGCTACATTAGGATGTGTAAGTTATGTGTATTTTGTGTTGTATACTGAGAAAAATCTAAAAAAAAATGGGAATCGCTTATTGAAGATAAAAACTTAATTTTGTACTGTTGTAGCCAAGAGATGCTACAAGTTTAAAACTAAAATACGAAGGTATAAAAAAGTTGTTGAGAGGTTCAAAAAGTGAACTATTTAAAACTGGTGGTGGTCCCAGTAAAACTGACTATACAAGTACAAGTGAATTGGAGAAACAGTTGTATGAAAGTATTCAGCTTTCAGTTGAAGGGTTACCTAGCCTCTTAGATGCTGATTGTAGAAAATCCCAAGAAAATCTCCAGAAGTGATCAAAAAATTACCAGTTGCATAAAACCTCAAAGCTAAAAGCAATTTGTTAATGGATGTCACTGCATGATTTCTAAAAAAAAATTGGATTTTCATTAGTTAGCACCTTATTTTGTATGTGTGTCAAACCTAGATCACAAATCATAATTTTATAGAACAGAAAATGTAGTCGAAAATCAAAGTATTTTCGAAGTTTTGATGATTTTTGTCTAAGTTTGAAATTTAAATGCATATAAAAACCAGTCGTGCCTATGCATCTTTAATATTTTTGAACTTACATTAATGAAACTTATAAGTTATAAGGCACCTTGTATTACATTTTCAAGTGAAAAAGTTTTTATCGAGAATAATTTAAAACAAATTCACAAAATTCGAAAAATGTCTTAAGGCTATATAATAACTAGCCCAAAAAGAGTCGAAATATGTTACAATTCATGGAAAATGCTAATGCAAATATGTGGTGAAAATTTCAACGGTAAACGGTTATTAATATTTGGTTACCCCAAAAAAATAAAATATATTTTTTGTTTTATTTTGATCTTGACGCTTTCTAAAACTACTAGGAATTTTCAATTTCGACCAACTTAATTCACTTTTCAACCAGAAATTATGCTGATCTCGAAAATCCGATCATTTTTACATTTTTACTTTTTACCAAAATAGTGCTGACAGACAGAAAAAAAAAAATAAATACATCATAATATCATAACAATTAACAACATATTTTTTTTTTTTAAACCTACATACTATACGTGTGGCAAAATATTTTAAAGTTTGATAAAGATGCAGGTAGTTTTTATATTTTTGTTTTGATGCAAACAATTTTATTAATAATATTTGATATCATAATTTTTCATTTCAATATTTTAACTGAATATTTTGGGAGGCAGTTATAGTAAACCAACTTACCTATCGGTTAATGAAGATATTTGGTCGTTGATGTGGTCTAAAACTTGAAGAACGACCACCTTTGAGATTCGGAATCTGATCCTAAAATCATGATCATCCCAAAGTGTCATATGATCAACTCTCATACGTATGGTGTATGTACGACGTTGGTAATTTAAAAATTCGATGATTTCTTGATCATCGTCTTCATAAAATATTCCAAATATATCCATTATATTTTATTTATAAAAAAATAAAATATAAGAAGTACGTTCTGGTTTGGTATTATTATAATAATAACAAAATACAACTTTTGGTTATCACAGCACAGTTATACATTATGATAACACATTTATTCGTCGAATAACTTGTTATTTGGTCAAAAAAGTACCGAATAACTTATTCGTGGTTTATTCATCGAATAAGACTTATTCTGACATTGAAAAACCGGCATTTTGCTATTTTTTCTTATCTGTCGAATAACTCATGTTATTCGATGAATAAATATGATTGAAAAACCGGGCCTAAATCATATAAAATAAAGGTAATATTCATGTTTATTCCATGTCAACATAATTGTAGTTTACCATTTGGTGTTTATATATTTTATTTTGGTAGAACCTCCTCTGGGAGGCCTCTGCAGTCTGACTAATCTGCCTTTTTATTTATTTTTAACTTATAAACCATCAATTGTTCTTATTGTTCTTCTTTTTTTTGTAACAGATTGAATAAAAACATAATATGAATAAAAATATATATTATACTGGGTGATTCTTTTATCAAACAACACTCATTATTTCAAAAAGTGTAAATTTTTTTGAAGATATTTTTTACATAGTTTCAAGTCGCTTATAAAACAACGTTTTTATTAAAAAATTATATTTTTAATTATTTTTTATCCTTATAATTTTTTAAGTTTTTTACTTTTTTGAATGACAACATAGGGTTTTAATTTTATATTCTAAAGTAGAATATTTTTCTTAGTATTTTGATACATGAAAATTGAATTTGGTGCGAGTAGTTTATGAGTTATAAGTATTTAAAGTTTAGACGAGCGGTGAAGTGGACAAACATTTCGCGGGGTAACCCCGAACCACTCCACTCCGCTCGTCTAAACTTTAAATACTTATAATTCATAAACTACTCAACCCAAATTCGATTTTCATGTATCAAAATACTAAGAAAAATATTCTACTTTACAATATAAAATTAAAACCCTATGTTGTAATTCAAAAAAGTAAAAACCTTAAAAAATTATAAGGATAAAAATAATTAAAAATATAATTTTTTAATAAAAACGTTGTTTTATAAGCGACTTGAAACTATGTAAAAAAATATCTTCAAAAAAATTTACACTTTTTAAAATAATGAGTGTTGTTTGATAAAAGAATCACCCAGTATATATATATATATATATATATATATAATATATATATTATTTATATAGTATGTTCTAAACATACATATTTTATCACCTTGCTAGTTATGTTTATTACATTTTGTAATCATAGGCAGAAATCCATTGACATTTTTGGGGGGCCTAAATTAATTTAAAAAAACTTTATTCAAATAATATTATAGAAATCTAAACAAAAACCTCATTGAGTCACATATTTCATTGAAATGAATCATAAAACATTTTAACAGTTTATAAGTACACATAAATAAAACAAAAATAGACTATTAAAAGAATATTATAATTTATTCAATTTATTGTAAAACAATTGTTTTATTTTTTTTTTTTTCTTATTTGTTAATGATGGAGATATTGCCAATATGTTTTACAATATCCTTTTCGATATTAAGTATTGTAATTGTGTTAAAACGATATTGAAGCATAGATGTTCTTAACCAAGTTCTTATGGCAGATTAAGAACGCTTACACGTTGATGACCTAATTGGAAGAGTGATTGCCACTTGCAACAATTTGTATACATTTGGGTGGACTTGTTTTACTTGCTACTGGTTAGACCTAAGTTAATACGGCGGTTGTTGATATCTATTAGACGAAAGTCCTATCATAGAACATTAGAACAATCATCCTATCGAGCCATCAAAGTTACCACATATTGTAATCTAAATTTTGTTCATAATGATATAATATAGGTACAATACAATTAGTAAATATATACCTATCATATATTTTCACATGAAACACAACATTTTTTTTTTTTTTTGAGGAGGGGGCTAAGTCCTTCCACCATTTCCACCTATGTTTGTAATATTGTATAACCAATGTTTCAATATATTTAAATGTTAATGCTTTTAAATTTTAATTTTAAGTTACATAATACATTATTCTCTTTAACCCTGCATTCGAAAAAAAAAAATATTTAGTTTTATGATTATATTCTCAAAGAAATAAACAAAAATAATTAATAATACTTAACTTTAAATAATTACTAAGTTACTGACTTCTGCTATGTCTGTAACTTATTATTAGTTATAAGTTATAACTTATGGAATAATTTACCCATCCCTGGTTGTTTATTAAAATATAAATAAAAAAATTTTTTATTGACTCATAAAGTTTTACTTGTAACTTAGTACTATACTCTGTCCCACGAGAGAAGTAGACCGTTCCCAGCATTTAGACTGACGAGTGGTCTTACCGTTTCACCGTTTCCCTCACTTTATGACAGTTCTTGTCTGTAGGTAATGCACCAAAAAATACTAGTTTTGGTCGCCGCCCGGTCTACTTCTTTCGTGGGTGAAATATAATACTATTCATTTTTTACCCCATAATTTTTATTTACATATATTTTTTATGATTTATTTAGAGGCTCATCCTATAGATCCCGGAATATTGCATTGTTGTTACATGGCTGACAACAACCATTGGTCGCATCGTCAACAGCGAAAATATAAACGTTTTATGAAGTCATCAATGGTAGTTGGCCAAAAAAAAGAATCAACCAATCAAGGTATGTGTAAGAAAAATAAAATTGGAATTACAAATCTTTACTGATTCTAATTTTTCGTGTATGGTACATCACACATTATGTTCTAGTGACATTGATTGCTCAACCATTTATTTATTTTTTTAATTTTTGATTTAATGCCAATGAAACCATGCAATACTTACAACGTCAAATGATATTCTGAATATTTAATTTTTTTATTTTGATTAATTGCAAAAAATCTTATATTTTTTTTCCTGTACTTAATATAGTGTTGTACAAAATAATAATAATTTAATATTATAAGCTATGAACAAAATACATAGCTGTTGTTGGTGTATATACTCAAGAGTAATAAAACAAAGGTATTTTTTAATAAATATATATGACTATAATCATAGACGTGCTCACGGGTGTGGCTTGTTGAGCCATGGCCACATCTGAAGTTTTTTTTTAGGTAGGTACCAAAAAACTCATTGGAATTATGATTTATATTTATAACACCCATTATATAGGTTAAATGAAAGTGATTGTTAAACTATTTTCAATACATTTTTAAGTATTCTAATATTATTCTTGACTGTGCCCATCACTAGCTGTTTGCTCAAACAATCCTTTTCAAAATTGAGTATTGTGAAGACAAAGTTATGGTCTATAATAAATCAAGAACATTTGGATACACTGTTAACATTTATACCTACATGTTTTTTGAACAAGGATAGTTAATTATTCAGTAAATTATGTTGAAGAAATTATTGAAAAATGTAAAACTTTAAAACTTTATATTAATTTAAAGGTTAAATAATTGTAATAACCAGGGATCGGAAGTTCGTTCATTTGCATATCAATCTGGCTAAGTCATATTTAATGCTAGATGATATAGAAATCCATTTCAACGTAAAATGGTTAGGTATGTGAAGTTTTATTTTGTATATTTTTGCATACTTAGAGGTTTTTTTGCCTATTTGGTATATTTATGCGGTTTTCTATTTTATTGGGCATATTTAGTGTATTATATTTTCAATATTTTCCTATATGTATTTGGAATTTATTATAATAATAATCTTTATGCTAAATTTGGTGTAGATACATTCCCAGTAAAAAATTGCGTCTAACTGGAAATATTCATAGTGTTAATTTTGATGTTTATTTATCTATTTCTAATATTCTTAATGTACCAGAAAATGTAATTGTTACTTCAGAGGGTAATTTGTCTATTTCTAGTAATTTTAGTTATTTAAATTTAATTAATAAAAGTAAGAAGCATTGCCTTGCTAGATGTACATATAGACCTCGAAGCAACCAAGTTAAAGAATCTAAAAAAAAGTGCCGAGAAAACCATTTGATCTGAAAATCAATTGCTCAAATGGAAAATTATTAAATTAACTGGTTTTGCATATGATCTCACAATTGTTTATAAAAATTTCATTGGCACTATGAACCAAAACTGTAAGGCGAAACACCTGCAGACATGTAAAAAATCTAAAAATCAGTTTAATAAACAATTAATATATGACATATTTTTAAAACATTCTTATTTTAATTTTATTTAACTAAACATTATTTAATCCTACCAGATAAGAACAATATATAAACCTGGCAATGACGGGTAATTCAGCTAGTCTTGAATAAATTATTTTTTTTATTAATTTTGTATAGGTACCTAATATTGTATTAAGGCGATTTGATCCTAACTGGATTTTGTACTAAAGTGGACCTATCTTATGCCAATTTACTAACTATTCAAGACTCAAGTAGGTAATTAAAATAATAATACATTTTCTGAAAACATATTTGAATTTATTAAGAAATTTAATATTGAAAACAACTTTTAATATTTTTAAATAAAACTTAAAAATGTCATTATTAAATTTTTAATATTAAGAATTTTAAAATGTAAGAAAGTATTTCTCATGTTAACCTCATGACAAATTTAAGTATACATATATTTAAAAATGTTTTCGGATAAGTAGGCTAATTATGATTGATAAAATATTAATACTTACTAAAGGGGATGTCAGCTTACATGCAACATAAACAAAACGCATTTACACAGAATCATTTTTTTTATGTTTTTAAGTAATCTTAGAGTAAATTCACCCATTACAAAAATAATAGAGAATAATATTTTCGAGGTTATGACATATCGATTTGTCTAAATATTGTCTCAAAACTATTTAAACATAATTTAATTATACAACATTTTTTTGTTTATTTTGAAAGTCAAATAACAATAAAATATAAAATTGCTATGTCATACCCAAAATATAATATTATCTTCTATAGTTTTTGTAGTAGTATATTTTACTCTAATATTACTCAAAAATCATAAAAAAAAACCATTTTAGGTGAATGTGTTTTATCTATGTTGAGCATGGGTCTGAAAGAAGTGACATCTGAAGAGGACGTGATACCCACATGCGTTGTCTCCGTCTTACAAATGTACAAGTAGTACAACAAAGCAAAATACTGTTTTGCGCGGGATAGAACCACTCCCTTGGTATTTATAGTAGAATTACCAAAATTCCACAACGCATAGGGAACAACTTTATCTGTATCGTAGCGTTTTTATTATTTGGATAACATAAATAAAATTAAAGTTATCAGTTTGAGAACAATAGGATTTTTTTTGTTTTTTTTTTCATTTAATTATTAAAAACTATTGGTAAATGCTATAAAAAAAAAATAAATAATAACTCTACGACACAGATAAAGTTGTTCCCTATGCGTTGTGGAATTTTGGTAATTCTACTATAAATACCAAGGGAGTGGTTCTATCCTGCGCAAAACAGTATTTTGCCATGTTATACATTTGTAAGACGAAGACAACGCATACGGGTATCGCGTCCTCTTAACCAAGAAAAATAATTACTAATATTTGTGTAGAGTGATATAGACATGTGCGTGCTTTGTGATACGCACACATTTTACATGACACGCACTCAACCACTTAGAATATTGCCTTTATTAAATATTTAAATTCCTTAGAAACAGTCGGTATTGACTGTAGAATTCTCGTGTTTCTATTGAAAGCTGGTAGTTTTTCGTGCATTTAGACAATAAGTGGAAGAAAAAAAATTGACTTCCAGAAATCTAATTTTAATTTGAAAAAATATTTGAATTTCTTTTTCTCTTTTCTAGGTTATGTAGGAAATGGATTTCCAATTTTTTTATAGTAACACTGAAGTAAAGGAAAATTTAAAATATTATTCATTTGGTACTATATTAATTAAAAAATACGAAAAATCGAAAATCCATTTCCTAGATAATCTAGAAAAGAGAATAAGGAATTCAAATATATTTTCAAAATTAAAATCGGGCATTTGGTATTGGGTGAATTTTTCTTCCATTTTTTGTGACTTTCATGTTGAAACTATTTTGATTGGAAAATATAGTGACGTGTCCAAGAATCTTAACCGTAGTCTGTTTATCTTCAATGATATAAAAAGTTCGGGGAACTTACTCACACTAATGATCAATCACTACTCACTACACTCACACATCACACACGATAGATATAGAATATCGCCTAAATCCGAACACTTAAAAATGGTTCGTTTCAACAGCCACAAAAGGATCGAAGCTACTTCATATTCATTATAGCTGTTATAATTTACACATAATTTGCAATGGCCTGTTTTAATTTTTTTAATGTATGTATGAATTCTTTGACAAAATATCTAAGCTCTTTAGAAAGTTGATTTTTAATTTTAAAGAACCTTAAAATTAAGATAAGTACCTATTATTCTTAAAATTCAGTGAAATAAGTGCATTACATAATATCATGAATTTATTTTGGGCATATACGATTTTAAATAGAAAAAATGATTCCTAAATAACATTAATTTCCTACTTACACATTGACAGCCCAAATTACATGTCATATGAATTGCCTAAATATTACTCCTTAAGACATGCTACGCCCTTAAGGGCATCGCTATGGCAACAATTGGACAAACAACATCAGGGATTTATCTATTATTCGTGAACGATTATTGGTGTGCAAGTGGGGTTGAATGCGGGTATCGACTAATGTCACTCTTATACGCACATGCACATGTCAATAACTTTATGGCAATATCAAATTCACCATTAGAGTTTTGGCAACTTACTTATTGTTTTGACACTATTTTAGTTAGTTAACGTTGTCTCATTTTATTTCTTAAAAATGACTTGTATTCAGTAGAAAAATATGTATAGGTCGTAGGAGGGTACATCTTCCATTTTTTTATTTTTAGTTAATTTAGTATAATTGAATAATGATTTGATAAAGTCCATGTTTTCATGTTTTCAACTGGCTATAGTTCAAAGATTAAATTTTTTCAAAGTACAAACTTTATACATTTTTCTGCTGAATTCAGATCTTCTTTTTATATTAAAATTGGTTACCGTAAACTATCTTTAACTTTGTTACAATTTTAGGTCTTTTGAACTAAAATGAACGGTAGCTCCTTAACCGTCTGTTTTTGTGATTCTATAAAATGTATTTTTTCTTAAAAACAAATGAGAATATTTGTTTGTGGACGATATTATTCTTTAAGGAATTATGGAATAAATTGTTTTAGACCTTGCTAAATGTACACCTATAATGTGCGCTTATATATGAGGCATTTTCATTGAGAATGTAAATTAATAATGTGATAAAAAAATGGTTGCAATAAAATCATATAAAAATGTAAACTTTTTCTCACTTTGCTTTTTTTCCCCATACCAGGAAAAGGCACTGTGACCGGAGAGAATGGCAACTCGGCAAGTGGTCATGGGTTTACCGTGGACGAGAGCAGCATCTATTGGACGCAACAGGCGCACGAAGACCAACGGCCGCAGTTCAAAAACGATCATCAAAAACCGGCGGACGGGATCTCGGGTAGGCCTCCGACGATGAATTCGTTGCAACCGCCGCCACCGATGCCGCCGCCGTCGTCACGACCACCGGTGATTTATCGAACGGACGACCAATTGCATGACGACGGTAGGCGCGAGGACGAGGAAGACGCCGATGACGACCATAACGGAAACAGAGTCAACGCCGGTGACGGTGACGAACGGTTCGAGTCTACGACTCGGCAGAAGGAGAGGACTGCTAAACTGGACGTTTCTGGTTCGGCGGCGGTCGCGGAGTCGCACGATTTCCCCGATTACGACGAAGGTTTCAAAGACCTGACGACCGCCGACCGCCGTTATCGGCAGCCGTCGTCAGCCGATTACGATCACAATCGCGGCGGCGGCGACGATGAAGACGACGACGACAATAATTGGAAAGCCAAACAACACCGTTGGACGAGCGAAAAAAGGCAACAGGACGACCAGGACGACGATGACCCTTTGGCGGCCGGCCACGACGACGGCGACAACGGTTACCAGGTGCTCGCGTGCCCCGCGACGAATAACTTTTACACGCATTTCCGGTGGTGACAAAGCGCCTCGCCTGTCCTGGTTGATTTATACTTATTATTATTTATTATGATACTGTGTTTTGATGATTTGGTGGTTGTTGGACCAAAACATAATATAATATCTTTTAAAATATTGTTATTCGCGTCGTTCAATAATATTATTCTATACATGTAATAGGGTAGTACCTGCCTACCTTTACTTACCTACCTGTACTGAATACATTGTAATTACTGTTTTATTTGTGTATTTCTTACTGTATTCTGAATACTTTTAAAAACAATTTTTTTTAATATACCAATACATTTTTATTACAACCGACTACACAATTTTAATAGGTACCTACTTATTATGTATAGTGTTATTTATTATTCTATTGTGTTCTACCAAAGACTACCTTTTATTTTATTTTATGTATTTTATAAGAATTTTTGGAATACTTTGTGAATACAATTAATATAACCATAAGGTTTTTAAACATATACCTATTCAAATTAGAGAATACTATTTATTTAAGTTGAATACTCATTTTTAAGAGAATGTTGTGTGTAGACTCTATCTTACTAACAAATTACTCATAATCCCTATACAAACATTTATACCTACCCAGCAATTCCAATTTTTTGTCAATTAGGGTGAAATTATTATCAAATGTAATATTATCTGTGTTCTCTCGTTCGTTAGCGGGCATTTTTAAATATTAATATTCTATAAACTCTATTATAATTGTATAATATTAATATACTCAAAGATTTAAAAATGTTGAACGCAAAATTAGTTTTCCACAAAATCGATTTTGTTATGGTGTAAATCTTAAAAAAATACCGTAGATACATGACATTTTCACTGAATGTTTATATTAGTAATTTATATACAATTTTCGAAATATTTTCCACCATTTTTGAATTACTTATAGGCATAAGAAAATGTCGAGTCTTATTAGTACTTTATTAAAATCATTGTGTGATAAAATATTATATGCTCAGTCAAAAAACTTTAAAATGTAATACAACGTTCCTCATAAGTTGTTGTTAGTGGGAATTAAAAAAATATTTTTTTATGAGAGTCAGAAGTTAAAATGTTGACGAAATGGGCAAATTACTTCACGTTAGAAATCCATGAAAAATATTCAATTTATATCTAAGCTTTGAAAATGTAATACAAGATTTCATTTAAGCTTTCCTACTTTAAACAAAAAAAAAAATACCGAAAAGTTAAATTAAATTTTTAATAACGTTTAAAGTTAGACGTTTGATATAACACCCGTAAATGAACAAATTCTCAACACTTTGTTTTTCGATTTAGTTCGTACGTTTTAGACTTAAGTAGCGTTTTTACCAACCCGATCAGGTTGATCAACCTCACAGACCAACAATATTATGATTATTATTGTTCAGTTTAATAATAATATGAGACTGCTGCCGCCGCGTCGATGTACAGCATACCGTATATAGGTACCTTCTAATATACGTAAACGTATTTTTAATTTAAAAACGTTACGTGGTCCAATGATTAAGATTAGTACTAACCGTGGTACCTACTAACAATCGACCAATTAAGAAGAATAGAGAAATAATATTATGTATAAATGTGTAATAATATTATATTTTAATGTATAGCCATCCCCACAGACCTGGGCGTTGTATTAAGTGTATAATTTAACTTTAAAGCAGTGGTGAGGCGTGAGTTTTTGGTTGGGGATAGTGATGATCAAAACAAGACCAAGACCAAGACTTTCAAAATCTTGGTCTTGCGCAAGACTCTTGCTAATTTCACAATATATATAAAAAAAAATAAACCATATACCTGTTATAGCTGTGTGTAGGTTTTTTGCTATGATCTCTAAGAAAACCAGTCAAACAATTTAGTTTTTAATATACTCCTTTAAAGGCCCGGTTTTTCATTCATCCAGTTATTCGCCAGATACGTATCCGTCGGATAAACTTATCTGGCGGATAATTTTTCAAATAAAGTGATTCCTGTTTTTCAATGTAATTTTATTCCCCAGATAGCTATCTGACAGATAAAGTTGTCGGTAGGAAAATTGTACTAACAGAAGGTAGTTACTATTGATTATGGAACAAGTTACACATACCTATTTGATTATGATTGGTCAATGATGGAATTGATAAGAAATCGTTCTGTGATATCAGCAGAAATCATTAACACTTTGTATATTATGAATTTATGATCAAGGGTAATTATAATTACGATCTAATAATTATGATCTATAAGGCTATAACTGCGATATTTATATGTGTTGCGTGTTGACTGTTCAACTGTTGACTCTCGCTATATTCTCTATTAAACATGTCTCATAAAACCATATCGAAAAAACAAAGATCAACAAATTTTACATTTTATGAAAAAGAACTTTTATTGAAATATGCTTTACAAAATCGGCACGTATTAGAAAATAAAGAGTCAAATGCAGTGACATGGAAGGACAAACAGAAATGTTGGCTGAAAATTACTGAACTATATAATTCAGAAACAACATACTGTGTAAGAATAATTGTATTATTATTTTTTGTATGCATAAAATAGTATTGTTTTATACTTTTATTTGTTATAGCCAAGAAATGCTTCATGTTTGCGATCAAAATATGAATGTGTCAAAAAACTTTTAAGGGGAACTAAAAGGGATCTATTCAAAACAGGGGGTGGTCCCTTTAAAGAACCTCATATAGTTTCAAGTGATTCAGAAAAAACCTTGTACACAATTTTACAACCAACAATTGAAGGACTACCTAGTCCACTTGATAGTGATTATTTTACTTGTATTTGTATTTGATGAATCAATTTACCAGCATAATTAACTTTGTAAGTTCTTATTACATTTATAATAAATATCAATAGGTTATTACTAATTAAAAATTATTGACCAATAAAATGTTTATAAAAATTAAACTGTTGTTTTTTTAATGTTCACTTAAACAAATCAAAATATTAAAAAAAACTGTATGGTTTGTTGCAAATATTAAATTGCTTAATAATCATATTTGTTATAATGATAATATTTATTATTTATAAATAATAACCAAGACTAATTTTTTTTTCAAACAAAGATCAACATTTAATTTCTTGTGTTTTAAATAATTACCTTTGCACAATGAAATATAATTTTTTTTGTGTATATAATACAATGAATATTTTTGTAAACAATTGCATGACCTGATAATAAAATAAGTTTTATTACATATTGAAGTATAATGATGTATTAAATTTAATAATCTCGTGAAATAACTTACAATTTTTTATACCTTATGCAATAACCTAAGAATTTAAATATCAGTAGAAAAGTTTTAATAATATGGATTCATGGTTTAGAGGTTTCAACTTACAATTTTTTTTTTTTTTTTTAATTGATCTTTTTTTTTAAAGCCCGGCGACTATGGCCATTAGCTTGATTGTAGGGTTTATGATTGTAGGTGGTAGGGTTTGAAATTGTAGGGTTATTACACGTGTGTGTTGTGTTTGGCAGAATTTCTATTGGGACACCCGTAGGTTTCTGCCATGCCCCGGAGTGGCTACATGTGTGTACATCGTGACTTGCCCGGAGAAAAATGCCGCCCAGTGGTCGAGAGAATCGAACCCGCGACCGCCAGCGCCACAGACGACGTGTTCGACCGCTCGGCCACCTCGTCCCCCCAACTTACAATTTAAAATGTTCCTTAATAATAAAATAATATTCAATCTCAAAGTTTATAAAAAAAAAAAAAAAAGGTACGATTTATGTCTCAATGGTTATTACATAAAAAAGTTTTTGATTAATAAAATAATACTTAACCTCAGTATATTTTATAATAATAAATTAATAATCTTCAATAATAAACTTATTGGCTGTGCTATAGAGAATTTCTTTGATGGTTTCCTGGCAGTCGCAGTACTCTCCCCAGGGTCTTCTTATATTATAGTGAAGAAGTTTCAAATGAGTGTATAAGAACTGAATGTATTGGAGACCATCACATTCATTCGATTTAATTTTGTCAATTATTTGATATAACCTAATTGATGATTTTTGTAACAAGTCCAAACTGATGTCAGTAAATATTTTACATTCTGATGGTGGCTGATCAGCTAATACATCATACAATGGCCAATTATCCTCACAAGACGAACACTCACAAGAAAAACAATATTGGTTTTTAAGTATTTGAAGTCTAGATTCTTTTGGATGTGTAGCATACAATAATCCATAGTTATCGAAAAGCTGTGAGTCTTTGAAAATAGGTTGAATAGCTGTAAGGACTATAGTTCCATTGTAGTTGTGTCTTACTACATTTGGATCACAATGATGGTTCAACAAGCTCAGCACTGGCATTAACAAAGAAGCAACTGGTATAAATCTGTCATCAAGGTGGGTCTCACAATCCGAGGGTTGTGTTATACCATGAGCATTAGAGGAAACTGCACATATTATATGAACTAATGATTCACCAACAGTACCTAATTAATGATTAGGTATTTGTAGGCCCGCTAATATCATAATTGAAACCATAACTGCAGCATGACAATGTCTTGAAAATAAATCGCTTACTGATCTTTTAGTTTCATTTCCCTCCAACGTATATACAGAACAAAATTGGTCAGATAAATATTTTCCAATATTATTAAAGCCTCGCATCATTGGATCAGTAGTATCAGCATTCAAAGCACATACAGTTGCAACATACTTGTCTAATCCTAACTCACAAACTGATTTTAAGAATATGTTAAGTGAAAGATGTTCCATGTGATCCATACCAGGCCAATAGTTAAATGTTGAAAACAATAAGCATTCATATTTATGGCCACTCTTGTAAGATTTTATTCTACAAGTTTCATCACAGTAAATTGCCAAAGTATTATTAATTATTATTATTATTATTATTATTAAGTATTTTAGACAAGGTATGCCATTTAAACAACGTTTAAAACAGTTTTGACAGTTAAATCCATAGGATTCACGTCTTAGTACCCCTACATAAAGTTTTTCAATAGCAAGAACTTCTCCAGGATTAATATCGGATGAAACAACCAAACATCTACTCATCGATTCTGAATACTTCATTTTCACAAATTTGGACAACGCTGGGATATTTTTATTTGGACTTCCAAATAGTTTGATTACACAGAGTTTATCTTGTTCATTATTTATTTCTTTTTTATTGGTTTCCTTTAAAAAACTTTCAATTTGCATTTCAATGTCTTTTTTCTTTTCTTTGAAAATAAAGGCTAGAGATAAAGAAGATGAAAATTCTTTAAACTTTAATTTGGCTTCTGATATTTTCCCCATATATTTTAGGCATTTCACTTCTCTTTCATATAACTTATAGGACAGTTCGATTGGATAGTTATGTGTTAAAGCACGGTGAATGTCTTGGATACAGGCATCATATTCTTCTAAATGATAGAGAGCAGCTGAACGATTTGCCAAAGCCAATGCATAGTATTCAGTGTCGATTTTTGCAGTCATAACACTTTTATTGTACTCAAATAAAGCGGAGTGAAACTTTGAGTTTTGAAATTTTATACTTGCATCGGCTCTGATCTTTCGAGCTTTTTTGTTATTTTTATGATTTGTCATTTTACACTCCGTAGGTAGTTTCTTATATTTTTTAAGTAGATTATATGTGTATACAAATTTTTCTCCAGCAGTAGGTAGCTTTGCAAACGCAACATACACTTCACCCATCATTTCTTTTTTTTGAAAACATTCCACGTAAGTTAATAATCGATCGACTAAATCACTACCTTTGTGAAACGTTTTCATAATTTCGATGTCAGGAAACATGATGAATAATGGTTTAAACGTAAACAGTAGGTACACTCGATACGGTAAGCATCAATAATATTCGAAAACGTTTAAACAATAAATGCGGTAAATATAATATTATGTCGAGAAACCGTAACACTTTAAGCCACGCAGTCCATATTATAATGGTAATGAAATCAAATATTATGTAACACAAAACGGACCGTTAACGAATAATAAAACAATTAAAATTTGTAAACTTGTTCGATACGTCCAAGTGTTTAAGGTCAACCATTACACGTCACAAAGCAAACGCATTTCGCAAGTACACAAGCAATTTATTCTGTGAGACGAGTAGTTAGTATAGTTACAAGTTACAACAACTGTGAAGTGTGAACGTGAACTGTCAACTATCTTAAATTCTTAACTATATGATGATTCTATGATGTTGACTGTGGAGCATAGAAAAAAGATTGTTGACCTGTAGAGTGTAGACTGCAGATGGCATTGCCCACTGGCATTTCGGTAGTCGAGTTAATATGACGTCCGAACACACGGGGCTTGACTGGTGACTACTATTTTGTTGCAATTCAAAAATATTATTCTTTGGTACTTGAATCTTCTAATGTAGGTAGGTATATTCTTATATACAAATAGTTAAATATGATAATATGCAAATAATATCTATTAATTCAACTTACCAGCTATACCGTATTGATAATAACAATGTAAATATAATTTATAATAACCTAGGCTGACAAACCATCCCAGAAATCAGAATCGTTTATTGTATACAATGATATTATATCATTAAATTCAAATTTAACGCCATCCATTACAGTGACCCACTTGTAACCTGCAGAGTGATACCCACTTACCCGCTTTTTTAAACTGAATATGGTAATTATTTATACCATGGGGCCTATAAATTCTAATTTTTACTGTACCTAATGTCTATTGTCTACACTCAGAAAAATGTACATGTTATTTCAATAAAATTGTAGGTTGATTTGACAAAATATTTGTTAATATACACTATACAGTTAATAAAACGTTTCTTGATTGAGAAGTAGAAATTCGTTTAATTCAGCTAATGAATATTTGAAATGATTAAATGGTTTGTCGATTATACAATACTCATTATTAATCGATTCATTCAGAATTAAAACAAATAAACTAATATTTTGTTGATTTAAAAGTATATATTATTGTACAAACAACATTATTTTATTAAATCTATTAATTTATATTATTAATTTAAACATATCGTGTATCATACTAATAAACCTTTTGTTAAATCCACATTGCATTTTTTTTTTTTGAAAACATTTAAAAATTGAATTTTGATAATAGTATTTTGTTACTTTTACAAATTATGTTTGTTAATTAAACAAAAGAAAAAACATTTATTAAAATTGAAATATTTTTTTTATTTTTAATTGAACACCAATTAGGTAATAGGTTTTACAATATTATCACTTAAATCATAATACATTCAAATTATATAATTTATTTAAATTGTATTACATTTAAAACAACAAATAATAGATACTAATTATAGATACTTATTGGAATTACATTACACATAAAAAACTAAAATACATAGATAGCAATATATTATATCTGATATTTAAATTAATAAATAACTAACTGATTAATACAATATATTAAAAAACAAATAATACTTATAGGCAGGTATAATGAAATTATATACAAAATATTATACGTATGAAACTGCCTATTATAAATAGCTAAATAGTATAGAAAACAGCCTTTGTGAATACAAATTGTTAATAAGATTTTATGAAAATATTTTGTTACTTTATAAGCAATACCTACTAGGCAATATACTATATTGGCCGAGCTTTTATTTTGTTTATACATCGAGATACTGGTTTTAATACATGATTAAATTTTAAAATTTTGGCGCATAAGGCTTCTAGGTGTATATAATACAGTGATATTTATTTAAATTTCTATTCAAAAACTCTTCCAATAGTGTTACACAACCAATATTTTTACCTATACATACATGGAGCACCGTCTGTGCATACACTTTCAAGTTTTGACCAGATTAAATCGTCACTTTTTAACAACAAAGTTTCAACACAACATTTTAGTTTATTAAAAATATCTGTTCCTTTTGTCGATGTTTCGAGTACTTCAAGTCCTAAAAGTTCTTCCGTCACTTCAAACTTAGAATTCACACGTCGAATAAATATACTTAATTGCGGATTGTCCGTAATATCACAGCTTTCATCAAGCGCAAGAGAAAAATATTTAGAATTAGTGGTAGGTACTACACGAAATTTGTTTTGAAATATCTGAGGAAATTTCGTCAATTCTTCTCATAATTGTATTACGTGATAAAGAAATGTCATTTACGTACGTAGAAATTTTTGAATCATTTGCATTTTTTGCAAAAATATCGAAACTTTTTTTAATGATTTCGCCATCAGAATAAGGTTTTCCACACTTGGCTAGCAAAAATGCGATTTCATAAGACGTTAACACCATGTCTTTTTTTCATTTGATTGTTTAGTAAAAATTGATTGCTGAGTTAACAATGAATTAGTCTTATTTTTAATATATTCTGTCCTCTTTACAGAACCCTCGGGGTATTTTCAATAATATCATTGTGATTATTATAGTGCCGTTGAACATTGAATTTTTTTGGAACTGCAATTATAGAGTTACATACTAAACATGTCGGTCTAGATTTTTTCCCTTCTATACATAAAAATTTTTCTATCCATTCTGTATTAAAAATTTGCGAAGAAATATCATCTTTATAACTTCGTTTTACGCCTAAACCTGAAGTTCCTGATGCCATTTCACGATCACACACACACAACGACACAAACTACTCGTTAACGCACGGGCACGGCGATTCTAATACGACCAACTTTATTGTAGTAATCTAGTACACACGTACCGTAACAATTCTCTTATTGGAATAATAATCGGAAAATTCCACTGCGATAATATAATTTAATTTAATAATACTTATTTTTAAAAACTATATATTATTTTATTTGACTCTAGTGTGCCATTCCATAACAACAAATGTGCCACAAATGGCACGCGTGCCGCAGTTTGGCCATCCATGCAATATAGTTATGTGTTTAATTCAATTCGATTGAAATCTGTTTAATTAAAACATTTGATTTATCATATTTTGTTTTAATGTTATAAAAAAAAGTTTGAATAAATAGCCATACATCATTGGATTTAATAGGATATTCCACATTAAAGACGTGAAATATCTTGAAACACATATCATACGCATTTAAAGCACTAACATTTTTATATATTAGGTATGATATCAAAATATATTAATATTTGCTTCGGATCCATCAACGATCCGACGACCAAAACACATGGTTGAATAGGACCTTTATTAGACATATTTAAGTGTTGCATCCATTTCCACGGCAGTTGGTTTAATAATGATGAATGCGTTTTGTGAATCCTTTATACTGAATTTAATAAATCCTTTTTTACCATTTTCATCGTATGTTACCTTTTTGGAAGTTGGAATAAATATACTGTGTAACAAATACAATACAATCAAACTCTTTTAATCTGAAAAATAAATTAAAGGAATTATTGTAATTTATGTTCATACGTAATCCAGAGAAAAAATATTTTATAGTTTTTAAATGCTTACCAACTGGCAAATCTTGGGAGCTATTTAATTGTACGAATAGATCTTTGCAGGAAAAAATTTTTTGTGTCCGTATATGTATAATATTGCCTACATTTAGCCCCTTTTTTGTAGTTATCAAAATGTGATAACATTGATAAACCGATAACATCATTTTTATTATAAATTATAATATTATATTTTATTATATTAATTATAATTTAAATAGTTAAATACATTAATAGTTAATAAATAATAAGTTATTAAAAAACACAATATCGTAATTTAAAATTTAAAAATACACAATGCATTGAGCATACAGTATAAATGTACAACCTATTTACGTGGAACTACTATTTAAGTTTTCAATCTTTAGCTATGAAAGTTAAATTATATAATACAATTTTAAATTTGATAAATATTTTCAAAATTCAAACTAATACAAAGATAGCAATTGTGTAATGATATTATTATTATTACAGTACACAAATATTGTTATAAAAATAATGTTATTATAATAACATAACTATCCAACTAACATAATATTTATTCAGTAATTTAATAATATTATTTTATAGATATTATAATAAAATTATTTTTTATGTATGCTAATAATAATATTATTTAACAAATATAATAATCAAGCTATTATAATAAAGAAAGTATATTATTATAATTATTATGAATCTTGAACATAATTTAATACCCTTTGAATAAAAATCAGTATAGATGGTAGTATAGTATCATATAAAATAAAATAAGCTGCAAAATCGAGCTGGGGCTATAAATGAAGAAAAACAAAAACATATTTTAAAACATTGCAATAAAATTATTGAATTACTTACAAACGAATTAAAACCTATGCAAACTGAAGATATAAATACAATTAACATAAAAAAAATATTGAAAAACAACCACGTTTCTTTGCTAAAAATAAAAAAAATAAACTTGAATTTCATCAATCGTCGTCGAGTGAAGGTAATATAATAAGAAAATCCTTATTCCTTACTAAATGATACAAGTGTTTTAAATGTTCATTCATATGACGATCATTCTTATAGCGCTAAAAGAAAATGCATTTCTTAATATATTGTTGAATTGTATCTTTTAAATGAAGATCGTAAGTGAATAATGAATATTGTGTTTTTTTTCAAATTGTGTATTATTAAATTTATTAACTATTAATGTATTTAACTATTTTAATTATAATTTATAATGTAAAAATATTATGTTAGTTGGATAGTTATGTTATTATAATAACATTATTTTTATAACAATATTTGAGTACTGTAATAATAATAATTTCATTACACGATTGCTATCTGGGTATTAGTTCGAATTTTGAAAATATTTATCAAATTTAAAATTTTATTATATAATTTACCTTTTATAGCTAAAGATTGAAAATTTAAAATAATGTTCCACGTAAATAGGTTGTACATTTATACTGTATGCTCAATGAATTGTGTATTTTTAAATTTTAAATTACGATATTGTGTTTTTTAATAACTTATTAACTATTAATGTATTTAACTATTTTAATTATAATAAATATAATAAAATATAATATTATAATTTATAATGGAAATGATATTATCGGTTTAACAATGTTATCACATTTTGATAACTGCAAAAAAGGGGCTAAATGTAGGCAATATTATATACTATTTAGTATACACTTATTACTAGTTAGTAAGTATTAAGAAATATGCATAGGTATATTATACCTAAGGTATATGATAATTAAATACCTTTTGTTTAGAGCATTTTTTATTAAAACCAGAATTATCTGCAGAATGACATATTTTTGTTTGCTTGGATGTCAACACATTGTTTGATCTACTGGACCTTTCTTTTTTATACAATTTTAATTGACTCATCATTCCTAGGTGCACATGCTGAAAAGTTAAAAGTTAGTAAATACTAAATATTAGGTAGAAAATTAATAGGTAGGTAGTCAATAATACACGGGATAATACATGAATATTAGGACTATATGAGAATTAAAAAATATGTTTTACAGCAGTTTTCAAAAACCAACTTTTAAAAAATACAATTAATAACTAAGTGACTGACTAAGAATGAGCAAAGCAACTAAAAGTTAATATGTAACAGCTTTTAATATAAATAGTGACTATTTGTTACGTTTTATTATTAATAAATAAAGTGGACCCGGGACGGATTTGGCGAATTAAACTGTAATTATAATTTATTATAAATGTAACCGTATGAAGGATTAATTTCAAAATTGTAATAAATAAAAAGTTATAAGATTAATATAATCATTTTTACTCTTAAAAATATGAAGGTTTAATCAATAGTATATTATAATATTGCTAGCTTTAAATTAATTTTGAAATTTGTGACACATGAACAGCGGCCGGTAGGTATTTCAAACTTTAAATAAACACGTTGTATTAGTTATATACACAAGTATTAGTTAATAGTTATAACTTATATGTTTATAACGTGTTCAAGTTTGAAAATTTTTCATTTTTTTCCTTACTATAGGTTATCTACATAGATTATTAAATATATATTGGGTATTGTTCAACCATGGTCCATGAGGTACCCACGAATAATATTATAAAATCACAACTTCACTGAAACTTCTAAAGTACCTACACTACTATATATCTATGATAGTATCAGGGCTTGTTGTTGATGTATAACGCGTTATAAGTACCTAATGGATATTGTGATATGATTAATATGGAATTATACAACTATAATTTCATGTTAAAAAATTGAATATTATGTATTAAAACAAAATAAATATTATATTGGCATCTATGTTATAACTGAATTTCATGTACATAATTTTGTTTATTAGTATTACAAGTAGGTATATAACTACAGAAGTTTTGTTTGATTATAAACAAACAGTAACATTAATTACAACAACTTAAAACAAATTAGTAGGTCATACAATTTGGAACATTAAATTTTTATTCTAAATTCATACAAAATTAAATAAACACATACAAGTAAGTTATACACAGTATTATGTACAGAATAAAATCCAAAATAGGTACTTATCTAAAATTTTATTTATCTAGATGTACTCAACAGAAGACACGACGCAAGAGTTAAAAGAAATTATATCCTGTCAAGAAGATAAAATATGCAAGTTAAATAAAAAACTAGAAGAGTTTGATTCAGTGGTTTCTGAAAGAAATAAATTACGAGAAATTTTCAAACAATTTGAAAAGAGTCATGAAGACAGTATGAACGCCCATAAGAAAGCGTTTTGCGAACTATCAGCTACGTGTGACGAGCAAACGAAAAAGCTTAAGGAATGCTCGAATTCAGAATATCAATGGGAACTCAAATGCGGGAAACTAGAAGACGCCAACAACTGTATGTATCGTGAGATCAAAATTCTAAAATGTAATGAAAGTAAATTACAATCCCAGTTAGCAGAGACCGAAGTAACTTTGAAATGTGTTCAGAAAGAATTATGTCAAACTAAAGTAAATATTTCCTTTTCTTGATTTTAGAATGATACAATTAGGTTCTAAAAAAATTGTTAGTATACACATAAAACGTAATATTAGATCGTTTAATTTCTTTAATACGAATATTATACAACATAATTTCAAATACTTACACAATATCATACAAAGTTAGGTAATTTATTTAGGTTTATATTTTTCAATAAGTATAAATATTATTTGTTATAATTAATTGTCCACTCTTGTTTTCACACACAATTAAAAAACCTAATATTTTTAAATTTGGTACGCCTGTGTGTTTTGTTTGACGTTTTGACTGTATGGCCAAACAACAATTTTCATGGCGGTGCCTGGTTTATTCACTATCACTAGCAGTGCTCGACTTGGGGGGGGACGCAGGGGGACGGAGTCCCTTAACTAATTTTTCAGAAATTTTAGCGTACCCCTACTTTTACTTTTAAGGGGAACGCACGGGACGCTTCATTACTATGCATTTTTATCAAAATGCACGAATCATTTTTTATTTTTTTTTACCATAGATGTATTATTATTATTCTTATAATCTAATTAATTATCTTTAATCATATTTCATAACCAATGTATTATATTATCATTTATCAGTTACCAGTACTTACCACTGTTATCATTATTCACTAATATTCGTTATCAATTATCATTTATCATAGATTTAAACTATTTTAAAGTTTAAAAGTTTTTAATTTTATAAGTTTAAACTGTTTTATTTCATTACTAGTTACTACTAGAACAATTGTTATAATATTATTAATACAATGACTGAAAAAAAGAGACCACGAAGTGATTTATTTTCATATTTTAAAAAACAGATGAAAGTAAGTAGATAATCAATAATTACTCAAACACTGAAACACTCAGTAACAACAGAAAATTTTATACTTAGATTAAGAAGGTATAAATAGTAAATACTAGTATACTTGGTAACTAGGCACAAGGTACTATATTATACTTTATAATACTTATAAAAGATAAAAAATACTTTTTAATATTCTAGATGAGTTCTGATAATGTTGATAAAACAGAAAAGACTCAAATAATTACAAGTACTTCAAACGCAGATATTGATGTAGTAAAGCCACAAGCCCCACAACAGGTGATTAAGAATAATATATCATTTTTTATTTGTTACAATGTTAGTAAATATTTTTTTTAAATCTATTTAATTAATTATATGGTTGGTTATAGACTATAGTTTCATGTAATTAATAATTACACATTACATAATTGTACAAAACAATACAACAACTATTCACATTCAAGCAATGAAATTAATGGGTTGATATTTAATTTGAAAAAAATTAAAAATTGATTTGGGTACCAAGAGAAACTAATTATAGTAAAGGTTGTATTATTCATATATATAAATGCAAATTAATCTATTTCGGGCTGTTATAAAGTAATGCTTTTAAATATATGCTATACAAGCTATTTTAGATTAAATAAAAAAACTGTGTGTTAAAGCAACTATTAGGTATGCAATATGTAATACTATTTTTACTTAATAATTATTTAGCCATTTAGGTACTGCTAGATTTATTGCATATGAAAATATAAGGAAGTATATAAAATATTCATTATATATTTACCTAATAATAAATAATGTTTATACAATTTGCTGCAATAAAACTTAATTTTTAGCTTTTTATGCTTAATTTATCAATATTTAATAAATATTGATAGCTGACTTATTAATAATTTAGTATATTGTATAGGTAGGTACTTCATATCTATTTTGTTATAATGCATTTAAATGCTTAATTTTTAATATGAATGCCAGCTTTTGAACTTGTTTTAAACTTGTATTTGCTTGTTTGAATAAAACATTGTATTTTTTAATGATGAAGGAATTGGAAAAATTAAACAAAAATGAAATTGAACCTGTACAAATTGAAGAAGACAAAAATCTTACACTCTATAATCAGCCGGAACAAGGAACATCATTGAATTGTGAATTGTCTTATGATAAATTACCACCTGATTGTTGGGATCGAAATCAAGTTAAATACTTTACTGATGAGTATAATTGGTTATACATACATAACAAAAAGTTGGGTTGCAAAATATGTAAGAAGGCTAATTTAAATTTAATTAAAATACAAGGAATGCATGTTTCAAAAGAATGGTGTGATGGTAATATAACAGCAGTCGGTGATGATATTAGTAAGCAGCAGACAAGTCTCAGGAAAAAGATCTCAAAACATAAAAACACTCAGGTGCACTTAAAAATTGAACGAATGATCGATCAAAGTATGTTAGAAGTAATACCAAATCATTTACAGAATCTTTCAACTATTAATAATGCATTAACTGAAAAAATATTTAGAACTGCATATTTTATTGCCAAAAATCAAAGGCCATATACTGATATGCCCAAACTTGTAGACCTCCATGTAAATAATGGTTTGGAAATGGGTCGCATTTTGCAAACTGATAAGGCTTGTAGTAACATAATAGACCATATATCTTCAGAAATGCGGAAAAAAATTTGCAAAGATATAGTAGATAATGGAAGAAAATTATGTATAATTGTGGATGAATCTACTACAATCAGCAACAAAACTATGCTGGTAATTTGCTTAAGATCTGCTATCGCTCACGAAGAAGACATAATAACTTTCTTTTTTGACATAATTGAATTACAAAACACATCTGCAAGTACAATTTATGCTGCTATTATAGATGATCTATCAAAATATGGAATCAACCATGAATATTTAAAAAAAAACTTGGTTGGTTTCGTTAGTGATGGTGCATCAAACATGTTGGGAAGAGTGTCAGGTGTTGGTGTTAAACTACAAAATGTTTACCCTAATATAATTCTGTGGCATTGCTGTAACCACAGGCTTGAATTGGCTGTATCAGATACTCTGAAAGAAGTTCATGGAACTAATCATTTTCAAAGTTTTATTGAAAAACTATATGTGTTGTATCATCAATCGCCAAAAAATCGAAATGAATTGAGCTTATGTACAGCATCTTTAGAGCAAAAGTTATTAAATATTGGTAAAATATTTACCATTAGGTGGGTCGCATCTAGCGAGAAGACTTTGAAGGCTGTTTTTAATAATTACACTTCATTATATAAGCATTTTTTCAATGCATCTAATGATAGTCAAAGAGAATCAAAAGAAAAAGCTAAATATACTGGACTGAAGAACATTTTGACATCAGTGGAGTTCGTTAATAATTTAGGTACACATTTGGTGAAATACTTAATCTTTGTTTTATAATTATTTTTTAACTAAATTATATTGTTTTTGTTTTTAGGCATAATGTATGATGCTTTATCGGAACTGGCAGACTTATCTTTACAACTTCAAAATAGGAATATATCTCTTTCAGTAGCAAATAATTATATTGAACGTACAATTCGTGTGTTTGATTCCATGTCTGAACATTATGGACCAAAAACAGAAGAAGTGGTTGATGCATGTTCAAAACTAATGTTTAAAGATGTTCCATTAACAAATAACCGTAGTGTTCCAAAAATTAATTCAGGACAGTTTTTCAAAAGTCTAGCCAACAACATGCGTTCTAGGCTATTTACTTTTCAAGCATCTCATTCAGCAACATCAGGTAATATATTTAAAGAAAAATATGATGAGCTCCTTAAAGACTTGGATGTACTGAATGAACAAAATTGGCCAGATAAACATGACATTCAATATGGAGACAAGAATGTAAGGAGGTTGGCTAAAATATTTCAAGTAGATGAAACATCTACCATTAGGGGTTTTCGTGAATTTAAGGACACACAAAAATTGTCACTCATTCACTCATTAAGACCATTAATAGTTGCAATTAATACAGTAGCAATTTCATCTTCTGAATGTGAAAGAAGTTTTAGTAGCATGAATAATACGGTTACTTGGAAAAGAAATACATTAACGCCAAACCATATTTCATCATTACTATTAATACAATGTGTAGGTCCACCCACTAATAGTTTTATACCAAGTAGCTTTGTAAAATCTTGGATATTAAGTGGTAAAAGAGATGCAGAAGAAAACTGTTGTCCAAAAAGGACAAAATTGGAAGATAAGAAAAAACATACATATGATAAGTTATGGAATTATTTAAATAAATAGTTAAAATTAATTATTTTTTATTTAATCACTTTCGAATTTGTTATTATATTTTATAAGTTATAACAAAAATATACAATATAATATTTACAGTAAATTTTTTGAAGTTGATTATTTATAAATATTTTCTAAATTATTTAGCGAGGAGTAATAGGGGGTGTGGGGGCATAGCCCCCACGGCTTAGTAACGTTTAATAAGTGATGGGGGCGCTCTTTTTTTTATAGCAAACAGAGTCCCTCTACTTTAATTTTTCCAAGTCGAGCACTGATCACTAGTCAACAAATATAACGATTAAGAAAAAAGTTTCCGAACTATTATAGTCTAAACGTTAGTTTTGATCTAGGTTACATCTACTTGCTTTAGGTTATGTTATCCGTTAACTATGCAGAGTCGCATAATAATTTATATTATAGGTATAAATTATATGATGAATAATATACTATGATACATGAACTATGAGCCCATCGAATAAATATTTTTTTTGCCTAGGTATGTGCCTTTTTTCATTAGTCACTATAATGAACCAGCTCCACATATCAAATATTATACTTAAATACTTTACAAATTACAATAGATATGTTGTTGGGAAGATATTAACATATTTGTATTTATATTTTTTAGTCGGAATTGGAAGAAACTCTCTGTTTGGTTAATAAATTGAAGGCATCTTTGAAATGTACCGAACAGGAGCTCTGTAAAGTTCGCAGGGAACTTGAGGAGTGCATGGCGGAATGCAATAAATTGCACGAGATGAACGGGGTTTTGACTACGGAGTTAAACTGCACAAAAAAATGTCTATGTGAGGCAAAATTAGCGGCTACGCGCATAGAGGAAAGGTACATACAAGAACGTGAAAATTTAACATGTGAGTTGAAAGCATGTTGCAAAAAAGTTAGCGACTTAGAGATGCGATTAGACGATGCGATGTGTAAATTAAACGACGAGAAATGTAAATCAAAGAAGTTTGCTTGCATATTAATAAAATTGAATAAAGTGAGTGCAAGGAATCACTTAGAAATGAAAAACCGGGTACAGAAATTACAAGAAGAAATGTGCGCTAAGAATAACGAAATATGTTGCTTAAAGAAAAGAGTCATTGAGATGCAACACGAAATTGATTGTAAATGTATGGAAATAAACGAGATGAAAATGAAACTTTACGAAAGAGAATGTCAACTAAAACAAATGTGTTTACTATCGGAAAAAATTGAGCAAATCAAGTGTTTTGTCGATACTTGTTGTCCTAAAAAGAAATGTGGACCGAGTCCTTGTGGACCGAGTCCTTGTGGACCGAGTCCTTGTGGACCGAGTCCTTGTGGACCGAGTCCTTGTGGACCGAGTCCTTGTTGTCCGAAAAAGAAATGTGAGCCAAAATGTGAACCTATTTGTTGTCCGCCAACTCCTATTTGTTGTCCGAAAAAGAAATGTGAACCAAAATGTGAACCTATTTGTTGCCCGCCAACTCCTATTTGTTGTCCGAAAAAGAAATGTGAACCAAAATGTGAACCTATTTGTTGTCCGAAAAAGAAATGTGAACCAAAATGTGAACCTATTTGTTGCCCGCCAACTCCTATTTGTTGTCCGAAAAAGAAACCTGATCCTTGTTGTAAACCATCATGTTCCTCGTCAGACATAAACCTTCCATGCGGTCTATCAAACAGCACAAAATGTATGATCAAAAAATATGCCACAAAATCAAATACCGAAAGTAACTATACACAGGAATTAAAACAATTGAAATGTGACATGGAAGAATTACAACAGAGTATTGGGGACCTCTAAAAATAAATAACTTTTAACTGCCTATTCAAGTTATACAATTATGCGCGTCATTAAAATAAGTTCTATATAATATTATGTATTATAAAATAAAAAATGAAAATAAATAAAAAAAAAAACTATTTTAACACTATCAAAGACTGGATAACTACAAGCATTTGTATTACCTATTTTTCGTGAGGTTTTTGTTGTTGTGGTTACTTAGGTACATTAACAAAAACATATTTATGATTCATAGATTTTCCTTCTTTGTATTTAAAAATTAGACTCTTACAAAATGTATGTTTCTAATAATATAATAACTAATAAGTATATTCAGTAAATAATTAGTTAAAAAAAAAAAAGTAGTTTTTGTAGATTGTCGTTATTAAGGAACAGGGAAAGTTAAACATTATATAACTATATGGCCATATAGGTAGGTATTATTATCAAAGTTGATAGAAGTATAGGATATGATAAACCCACCTTTAATTTAGGTACCCAATGGATTAGACCTTTTTCGTAGTTATGGTACACATTGGAACGCAACTAGTAGCAGCCAGGTGGAGCATTAATTATGCTTCAATATAAAAATAATTATGAAAGCATACATTTTCAAATGTATAAAATAAAGTTGTGTGAAAAATTATTAAAATATTGAATATAAAATAATGTTGCTATATAATTTCCAATTCTAATTAATTTAAAAGGGCAATAGTATAATGATTTTTAATTTGTTAATTAAGTTTGATGGAATTTTGTTTTTTATATTATATGTTATATGTACGATATAACAATAATCTTCTATGATATTGAAGTTATACTTCTTTACGCAGGGTAGTGAGGAAAAAAAGCGAACGGGCGGCCGTACGAAAGCGAAAGCGTACATGTCCGTAAATAAATAAATATTGTCATGGTAGTGTTGTTATATTATATATTATAATTTATATATTATATTATATATTATTGCAACTGAATAATGATCCAACAATATCGACTACTAAATCAGGCACAACAATCGATGCAATTTTTACGCGATATATGGATAATGTTCAGTCACAAATGTACGTTTCGTATTTCAGTCATCATATGCCAATCATAACTACTATACCGATTGAGCAAAATGATAAACAATCATTAGCATAAAAAATAATAATTAAAAAAAAAAAAATATAAAAAATATAATTTACATTGTTTCTTTTATTTCTTTATTATCCTCATTACCCAGTCTATCCATGCCTTTCTTTCTTTTTCACTCAGTACGTGTACCATTCAAAAGAAGTTTAACTTCCCGCGCGCGTACTGATAACACACACACTTTTTTTTACACTTAAAATTCCATGTAGCACATCTACATCACTAAAACAAAACAATAATATTATTTTTAACAATTATAATGATTCAACAACTGCTCAGATTCTAGCTTCCACAAATGTAAGTTCCAGCAAACATATTAGTAAACATATTCTTATGTCTGCTCAAATTTTAATTCAATCTCTAATAAAACAGATAACTTATTAACCAATATGAGTGTACCAAACAATTCTAACTATGAAATACCAACTAATTTAAGTTTAGAAGAAAAACTTAAGAATATAATTATTAAATATCATGTTTCACATAATTGTATAAATGAACTATTAGAAATATTAAGATGTGAAGGATTATAATTGCCCAAAGATGTTCGAACATTACTCAAAACTCCAAAAAAATCTTGATATAACAGTTATGGATCCTGGTACATATATACATTTGGGTACAGAGTTTATGTTAAAACCTATACTTCTCGAGTATTTCAATTATATAAAAATGTTTGATATAATAGAGTTAGGTTTGCACATAGATGGTTTACCCATCACAAAAGTTCGAAATCGTGTTTCTGCCCGATTTTAATTTCTTTTGTAAATGTTCCAAAAGTGGACAAAATAGTTTTACCAGTTGGAGTTTATCACGGTAAATTAAAGAAACCAAATTGTATTACTACATTTCTAAAATGTTTTACAATTGAATAAAAACAATTTTATTAAATGGTATTTGTGTACACAATAAAACTTTTTTATTTAATATTTCTCAAGTTGTATGTAATGCCCCTGCCAATGCCTTTATTTTAAATGTGAATGGCCACAACGGTTATAACAGTTGTAACTCTTGTATAACTAAAGGTTCATTTATAAACAACATAATGTGTTTTGATGAAATCGATGCACCGTTAAGGACAAATGAATCATTCCGTTTAAAAAAAGATGATGGCTTGTCTCCATTAGAAGATTTACCGATTAACATCACTTCATCAGTAGTTTTAGATTATATGCATAACGTTTGTTTAGGAGTAGTCAAAAGGTTATTAACATTTTGGGTTAAAGGGAAAAAAAACTGTACGGTTTTTAAATAATGATATTCAAACAGAAGTATCTTCTACATTAATTAGTTTAAACCGTACTTACCTTCTGAGTTTAACCCAGATCTCTTGAAGAATTAGAATACTGGAAAGCAACTGAATTTTGTACTTTCCTTCTTTATAAAGGAACTATAGTTTTAAAAGGCCAATTAAAGAAACAGTTATTTCAGCATTTTATGCTTTTACATAGTGCTATTAGAATTGTATTATCTAAAGAAACTTGTTTAACACTTAATGGTCAAGCCAAATGTTTATTAATACAATCTGTAACAAAATACTCTGATTTATATGGCGTGGAATTTATTAGTTATAATGTTCATGAGTTAATACACTTTCCTGATTTTGTTCTAGTCCATGGACCTTTAGATCAATTTAGAGCATTTAAGTATGAAAATTGCTTACAAAATTTGTTTTAACTCCATGTTATGATGTGGATTAAATTAATATCTTTATTTCTATGTAAATGAATGTAAAAATATACAATGATTTCTGGAGTAGGGTTCCGGTCCCATATAATAACAGGAATATGATATATAAGCCTATATAATGATTCAGGGGTGGGATCGAGTCTTACACGTCGGGCCCGCTTAAACAAGTGGCGTGAAATAAAAAGTGTGGCAATAACATTTCTTCATAAAAATCATTAAATTAAAAATATTTTTAAGTTGGGAACTTATTTTATTCTTTTATATTTAATTTTAAAATTTCTATAATGAGTAATATTCAAGTAGTTGTTATTTATTTGTAATATTTACTAATATTAAATTATTTATATAATTATGTATACCCTATATACACAATTTTATTGCAAATATTTTTTTATTCATGATTTCTATATTTTATATGTATACAAATAAGTATTTAAAGTATTTTTTATTGTAACTTGTTACATTTCATTTCTTTTATTAATTGATATTATATTTCCCTTTTTTCACATGTATTTTAGTTAACGTCTTATAATTTTTACATTATATTTAAATACATAATTGTATTTGTAATACTTGCAGATATCTAGATATCTTAAACGTGTTTGGTTATAAATGATTAAAAATAATATATTGATTATACACTTAGAAATAAAGAGAAACATATTTTTGTTGATTTATCATTTCGTTTTTATATATATATTTATTTAGTTATTTGATTGATTTAACGGGCTTTGCCCTTCCTATCAGAAAAGATGCTGTTGAAGAAAATCTAAGCATTTTTACTGTCCTAAAAGTTGATGACCGACACATGTTAATTGTATTATTGGAGAGAGCCATTTAAATATTAAACTGTATAAAATTCATTAGAACTTATGAGTTTTTAGTAACTTCCCCTCTCTCGGTTTTTGAACAATGTGTCGGTAGTCTATACTTTTTTTTATTTTGCTTTCTAAGTCCTGCACTTATAACTATAAAAAGGTGCTCTGCCGTGCAGTAGGTTACAAGTGGGTAACTGTATAATGGATGGTATTAAATTTGAATTCAATGATATAATGTCATTGTATAAGAAAAACGATTCTGATCGGAGACGGCATGTCAGTCTAGGTATAAGACATATTATATACTTATCTATGGTATTAAAAAAAATTGACCTATTATAGGTACCTACCTATAATAAATTCCAAATTAATCATATCACAATATCCATTAGGTACTTATAACGCGTTATACATCAACAACAAACCCTGATTCTATCATAGAAATATAATAGTGTACTTTAGAAGTTTCAAGTACCCACGAATAATATTATACAATCACAACATAATAACTAAAATAGTTATTCTAGGTTTTTAGGGTTCCGTAGCAAAAAACGGAACCTTTATAGATTTGTCATGTCTGTCTGTCTGTCCGTCATGGTGTCACAGCCACTTTTCTCCGAAACTATGAGAGCTATACTGTTGAAACTTGGTAAGTAGATGTATTCTATGAGCCGCATTAAGATTTTCACACAAAAATAGAAAAAAAAAATACATTTTGGTTGTTGCCCATACTTAGAACTGAAACTCAAAAATATTTTTCATCCAACCTATACGTGTGGGGTATCTATGGATAGGTCTTCAAAAATGATATTGAGGTTTCTAATTACATTTTTCTTTAAACTGAATAGTTTGAGTAGAGACACTTCCAAAGGGATAAAATGTGTTCCCCCCGCCCCTATAACTTTTAAAATAAGAAAATGATAAAATTTAAAAAAATATATGATTACCATGCAAACTTCCACCGAAAATTGGGTTTTGAACGAGATCTAGTAAGTAGTTTTTTTTTAATAAGTAGATAAATAAATAAGTAAATAATAATAATAATAATAATAATAATAATAATAATAATAATAATAATAATAATAATAATAATAATATAATAGTAATATATAATAATAATAATAGTAATATATAATACCTATATATTATATATAATATATAATAATTTATAGTTTAATATAATATACATCTATTTTGTCATGTATATATTTAAAAATGTAATCTCAATCATGGGTTAAGATGGACTAAGATGGGCTATAATGCCATAATGGACTGAGACTTGGTATAAGATTTCTGCTGGACCTGGTAGTGGAGCCAAAGAACGAAACGACTTATTATTTATGTTACTTGCTGCTACGGAACCCTTCGTGTTCGAGTCCGACTCGCATTTGGCCGTTTTTTGTTTATTATGTAATTTCGTCCAAATTTGAACTTAAAATGACTATAAAAATAAACTGTGCTTATGTATTTTTAGATTTTTTGGTAACAGAATTAACTACTTATGTGGAATCTTGTTTTTAATTTTCTATCCTTAGATATAAAAGTTTAACATTTTATAATTTTTTAACTATGAAATAATAAATTTATTAAATTTTAAATTTGATAAATTTCCTAAAAATTTGATCTTTCAATGCTTATAAAAAAAAAATTGTGCATATGTATTTTTAATATTTTTCAACTGCTATTGTAACAATATATCAGGAGCCATTATTACATTTTTACACTTTTTGGCTTAACAGATAAAACTTTATTGATATTTATAGAAAAAAAACTAAAAAAAATTGAAAACTGAAAATGTCCGTAAACAGCTCAAAAGAGTCAAAATATTTTCAAAATGTTATTGTGTATAGGAAATGCTAATATAAACATTCAGTGAAATTTTCATGTATCTACAGTTATTCGTTTTTGAATAACAACAAAAAAATTAATTAAATGGAAAATATTAATAACTTTTAAACATGGTTAATACATCTAATATTAATAATACATTGCACTTAAATTTATTACGACTAGAATCAAAAAAATCTATTGATGGGGATATTTTATCAGCTAATGACAAAGCACGAGGCAAAAACGAATCGGCACCATAACTTTTGCGATAGTAGGGGATGACAAATAAATCATTGGTCCTGGGGAAGAAAGTGGGAACCTTGATAGCTAGTAAAGCTAGTACTTAGTAGATGTGAAAATCAATGAAACCATTTAATAAATCATATATAAATAATATATCAGAGAGTTGTCTTCTTAGATCGATCGAATCCAGACCTATTGAGAACTGAACGGGTTTAAATATATTACTAGAGATAGGCATATTAGAGGCGTAAGCTATTCTTTTTAAAAATTTATATTGGACAATCTCAAGATTATTCAAGTATGTAGACAGGTTTTGAGACCAAATTATGGATCCAAACTCTAGTGAAGATCGTACGAGCGAGCAATATAAAGTTTTTAAGCTTCAAGGCTGTTTAAAATGTTCTGTATTCCTATTAATAAAGCCTAGCATTCTATAAGATTTATTTAAAATTTTCTTATGATGGAACTTAAAAGAAAAATCTGATTTAAAATATATTCTTATGTCTTTAATCACAGTTACTCTGATTAATTTGATATTATTAAGCTTGTAATTAAATATAATTGAGTTTTTGGAACGGGTAAATGAAATAATGTTACACTTATAAATTCAAGACAGTTATTCACGCTCCAAGTATAAATTTATTTAGCTGATCTTGTAATGTCTCAGAGTCTGATATAGACAAATAATATAGACTCAGCCAAAAAATTGTAATTGACATATTTTATAAAAAAAAAAAACAAATAAAAACAGGATATTTCAAATGACTATAAATAGCTGAAACATTAACGAAATATTTTGAAAAAAAAAACATGTGAAGAAAATGTCACTTCACACAACTTTTGGAAATTCCAAATTTCTATGGCTTATACTTTTTGAATAAAAATAAACACAAAAAATCGTTTGAGGCTAAATCGTAATTTACGTAAAAGTTTAAATTTGAAACGCTCATAAAAATGTTTGGTTTTAGTCCGGTAGTTTTTTTTACAGATATTTGAAGGAAAACTTATGGGGAACCTTGTACCAAATTTTTAAATCTTAGACATAAATACTTAAAAATGTATGAATTTTCAACTACAAAATAAACTACATGAATTTAGCAGGCAGAGACAAAAATGTTCCCTACGTTTTTGTTGCCGATGAAGCATTATCGTGTAATATAATGAAACCTTATGGAGAAATCCCAAGAAAAAGGATCAATAAAACGATCATTTAACTATAGACTTTTTAGATCTCGCCGTATAGTGGAAAATGCATTTGGAATTTTATCTGCTATATTTCGAGTGTTAAGAAAACCAATGTTTTAGAACCTGATTCTGTTACATTTGTGTTACATTCCTGATTTGCATACATTTACACAATTTTATTAGAAAAAACAATACTTTTAAAAATATAGTTCACCCACCGATAATGTTTGATTGTGAATCGGAAGGACATGATCTTTCTGAAGGAAATTGGAGAAGAGATGTAGGTATAAGATGTACCAGTGTAGGTAATAATTTAGCAATTATGATAACATTAGGGCATGAAATAAACGTGTAAAAATAAAATAAAAAAGTGTAATTTATATTAATGTGCTGATATTAAAATTAAGTAAGTACCTATTTACCTAAATATCTCAACTTTTTATATTTCTATATTGCTTTTTTTTATTGTATTAATATGTAATGCCTATATATACTATAGAGTATGATTAGGTACCTATCTTATTAAATATTGTTGCCTGCTGGCATTAATATTTAAATTGTTTTGCCTTCTACATTGAATATGACTTTATGTTTAAAATAAATAGGTGGGTATATAATATAATTTTACCTACATGTAATAAAATAAAGATATTGTATATTGAAACTTTAAGTATTTTTTCCTGTAAATTTTTATCATAATCTATTATATTATTATGATTTATTATTTTATGAGCTACCTAATTAATACATTATAATAATATATTGTGCATCGAAAAATATATGCAATATTAATTGTGTTATGTTTGAGCTCAAGCAAAAATAGGTAGCCTTTAGGTGAGCTTGAGTTAGGTATCTAATCTATTATATAGTTCAAATGGATTAGCTTTACCTACGTACGTACGTCCTATTACCTACATTTTCTATGTATGTCTTTATGTTTGTAAGATGTGAACTACAAATACGGTTGTTATAGTGCAAAATATGTTAAGTACTTTTTTGACATTAAATTTATCTCAAAATTTTCTTTCTCTGAGAAGTATAGAAAAAATAAATGGATTTGAACCACATAGTAATAACAGTTGTATTTATAGTATTGTAAATTGATGTTTGAATAGTGCTTATGTTGACATAATTTTTGCATCTATAGGCTATAGTAGATATTTAGGTACCTACTAAGCAATTTTCCTAATTTGATGTGTATTTTCACATATATATATCTAGGACCCTATCTAACTTGTACAGGTTAACTAAAACTAACTTAGAGGTACCTACTTTATTCTATAATCGAACTTTGTTTTACAATAATACACCCCGACCAACGCTGAGTAGTCCTGAAGCCTTCATCCGCCAAGCTCAAGATTGTGAAAATGTTATACCTAAATACAAAATATTATTATACACGCTATCTGTAATAGGACCTATATATTATAACTCATAGTCAGGTAGGTCAAAGGTGGGCATAACTTGTTAAACAGTTAAAGTTAAGTTATAAACTTAATGTTTTTTAACTTTCTTAACTTAATAGTTAATTATTTTTGTTTTAACTTATAACTTATTCAGTTAAATTTTATTGTTATAACTGAACTTTTGATAATTAATTATCATTGTCGTGCACTTAAGTGTAAGTTTCGTTTCAAGTCATGCATAATCAACTATAGGACAATACTGATTTTTTTACGATTAAATGTCTTGTAAATGTTGGTATACAAAATACTATGGTAGTTTATGACTTAAAAATATTGTACCTACCTTCAAAAAAAAAAACTTTTTTTTAACTGAGATAAGTTAATTTTATTTTCTATCTTAACTTTAAACTTAACTGCCACAGTTAATTATTTTCATTAACTTGCCCACCATTGGGTAGGTTAAAGCAGTGACAACTGACAATTAGGTAGGATAATCATAGGACCAATATTGTTACTCGTTAAAATACTTATTTCAAAAAAAACACATTAAAAAATGCTACTAATTCAATATAGGCATTAAATCATTATATCAAAAAATTATAATTAGGTATATTTAATTTTGTTTAGTAATAATTCCTGTCAGTATTGAGTACCTATAGGCAATTTACTCTTGCGATGTGGGGGATCCAGGGGGCCGCCCCTTCCCCCAATCACCATAGTTTCCCTTTGTTTTACTCTGTGTTTAGCCAATTTTGTCAGCTGCTTATTCAAATATCAAAATAAAAAAGTTATATTTTAGAGCTTGAAATTATATTTCAGAAATAAACGTTTTGTTGATTTCGGTACTCGTGAGAGATCGAAGTTCCCAAATGTCTTTCACCAGTAGAGTGTATGTGTATAGAAAATATTTAAAATTGAAAAATATTTTGAAGCACGTTCGATTCATTTGAGGATAATCAATGGTCGTTGTCACTGCTGTCATCGACGCACTCGGAATGTCAGTTGCCTTATACTATAGGAGTATTGAGTGTAAGACAATTTCGTTTTATAGACAGACACAAACAATTAGGTACAATATTTATATAAAATACATATTAATATTTAATAATAATAAATAAAATATAACACTTCTATGATTCAATATTGACAAAAATGTCATTTTTAAATTATTTATTTTTTAAATAAACGTTCCATTTTTCATATAATAAAATATGTAATACTTATATATATATTATATATATTTGCAAGTATAACTATAATAATTTTTTTTCCACTCATGTTTTTTCTGATTTTATAAACAATTCAAATTCAAATTAAATACCAATCCGAATTGTATAAAATAATTAGGTAATGTATTTTCACACAACCTGCGCTTTTAGGTAAATTTGTTTTTATGTACAGAATTTGATAAAAAAAATAACACTTTATCTGGATACCGATGTACAGCAAACAATAATAATCACATAATAATATATTACTACAATATAACATTATAACTTCATCAAAACGGAAATTAAACGCACGACGCCCGTATTATGTTTTTTATACATAATATTATATTTTATTATTACCTATTATATATTAATTCAAAAAAAGGTCTAAAATATTACAACTATTTTACATGGGGAATAAATTATATAAACAATATAATAAGTAAATTTAACTATTGAAGCATAGTTTTGCAGTTGCGATCGTGGTCTATTGCTGAAGATTTCCGCCGGAACGAAAACGATACAATAAGGTCCTATCTAATTCCGTAACCAACGTTCCAACGATGCCTAATAACTTGATAGGTATTATTATTATAAATTAAAATATGGTTATTTTTAAGCAGATTAACTCTTCGTCCACACGTCACGTTTGAGTTTCAGCATTACGAACGACACCAGCGTAAAGATGAGTATCCAAGAGAAGATCGACATGAACCCAAGGTACACGGATGGATGCTGAAGGCCTAGGCCCTTGGCGGTTAGCGACCTCAGGCTTTCCGTGGACATCGTCAGCGGCAAGTAGATGCTAATGCTGCGCAACAGGTAGTGGATTCCCTCGGTGGGCCACATAAGTCCTGAAACGGGGATGTTTTATAATAACAGTCGTTAAGTGTGGTGACAACAGTTGAGTTGCCACTAAAGTGCAAACTGAGTTGATTAACAAAAAATTTACTCGAGTCGGTTTATAGTAATATCAACGTTATAGTAACGTTAAAGGCATTGTAAGCGGTCTGTTATTTTAATATTTTGTTTATCATATCGATGGTCCTATAGTAATGCGATTAAGCTTTTAAAAAGTTTTAACCTACTGCAAGTTAATTTAAGCATGGTGCACATATCATAACTGACTACTCATATTTTTCATTTCTCGCCAGACCAAAGATTAATGCGAATGATTTTTCTTAAGTACGAGTGTAGTAATTATCTACATATTTTACGCACTCGTCAGTCGTAAATTCAATCTGCAGAGAAAATTAAAAAAAAAAAATGTCTACAAACATAAAGTCTATTATTGCGTCTCCCAAAAAGTTTTGGTTTATTGTCCAGAACAATTTGTCCTATAATAGAAGTCTGGTTGAAGATTTATACTCTCCTCTCTCCACCACCTAATCTCTACCACTCCTTATAACCACTGACTATAACCAAGCCAAACCCACAAACCAGATCGACTATAATAGTATATGATCTATTATTATTACTATTATTAAAACTTTTTTTATAATACGGGTGTGTATTAGACGTTAGTTTATGTATACATTTTTGATAGATAATTACCACATAAAAATTTCAACAGGAAATTAGTTCCAATGCCCAGGAAAGCTGCTTCTGTCGTCGTCCTACAGATGATGGCCGTGAAAAAACCTGTGGACAAAAATATAATTATAAACAATGTAATAAGCGTTTAGCATAATGTGCCTGTAAATCGACGTGATGCATGTGTATTATGTATAATATAAATATATAATATAAATACATTGACCTGTATTTTGAAACCTGTTGCACTGCTGGTTAAAATTACTACCACACAATACCTACTATTATTAAAATAGTTATTATGATTGGGTATTATGCGAATAACGCGAGTTATTAGTTTAACTTAAAATAACCAATACCTACATAATATTATTCAAGTTCGTATTCCATATTATATGGTTATGCTGCAGACAGCGTAGCGATAATGTGTAGATTTAGTTTATATAGTAACTATACACAGTATGTATACCAAAACTACTCCCAAAATTCAATAGAGACTTATTTGGAATTAAGGGGCCTGCTTGTGTGTCTTAAAATTCGTTTCATGGTCCCTTGATTGAGAATATACTAATTTTACTTTACACCTTTTTCGCATTTTTAGGCATTTTTAGTTATAAATGATATTTGTTCGTTTTTGAACGTTATTTTTTTTAGATTTTCGTATCATTATTTGTAGTTATTGTATAATGTGGGGCATTTTTATCTAATTTTAGATTTCAAAGAACATTTTTTCAAAAAAAATAATTTTAATATTATTATTGGTGGGTTTACTGAGAACAGATAAAGATTTAAATAATAAATATAATATAATACAATTATTAATCTAATAATGTCGTATATATTTTTTTTCTCTTAATTAAACTTAAAATTTAAATGCTTACTAAATTTTGTTTAAGTACATTTTTTATATTTTTTAGTGCATTAAATCATTTTGTTTAGTAATTTTTATACTTTTTAGGTCATCAACGCCCTATCTTTAGTGATAGTATACGTCATACAATACCGGTCTATGTACACACGCGCTTCACGTGAGCACACGTTAACGGCACCGCCTACCAAAAATGAAAAGCATGATATTTTGCTCAAAACACACTTCACAGGAAAAACTCTCACGCATCGCAGAGGGCACATTTCAATATTTAATTTCGTTGCTTAAAACAAACATAGTAAAAATAACAAGCTTGTAAAAATTGAACAAATTCAAAATCGTATTATATGGTTTTGGAAATATAATTTTGAAAATCCAAGTCCAATGCCCACTGTCCAATGCGTTAGAAGTGTTTCTCTTTCAAAAAAAATTACAGAAATCGGATTACATTACTCTATGAGGCGTGAGAATTTTCCCTGTAAGACATGCTTTTGAACGAAAAAACAGATTACGTTAAATAAAACATACATACCGAAACACATTCCACCGCACCCGATCATCGTTAATAGCAAAAACGATGGAAATATGTCGCCGACGAATGGATTGTCAAATACCACGAACATGACGATCATCACCAGGGTGGTTTGAATGAAGATAAATATCGTCTGCACCAATACTTGAGCCAAGGCGATTTCAATGAAGTTCATTCCTATACAGAGTTATCGTTTGTCAATTAATAATATTATGATATCTATGCAGGTGCAACGGTGAACATAACAAACATTTTATTTTTGTGGGACACAATAGTCCCTCATAATATTCATTTAACAATTTGAGTGCCATGTGTATCAATTTCAAAACACAACTAATATGTTTATTTGTGCCATGTGTATTGATAATGATACACAAATTTAAAAAAAATGTCTGAACTCATTGTAATAAATAGATTTCCAAAAAAAAAATTTAAAAAACACACGTGTGCAGTAATAACTAAATTTGTCCCCAATAAATTATTATAATTATATGTAAGTACATATATTATATTTGTAAAGTGTTTATGGGGAGGGGGGTTGAACTCCCTAAACCCCCTATGTCCCCTCCCCCAAATAAAGTTCTAGTTAACTAAGTAATATTTAAATATTGTGAATTTTTCTACAAGTTTTAGATAATTTTCATTAAGTTTGATTTAAAATTTGTAGAAAAATTCACGATTTGAGAGGGAGGTCTATTTGCATCAGTGTTCACCTGTAATATATATACATTAATATATACACTACATGAATGTGTATTACGTATTCGATAGAAGATACAAAAGTATGAACCTGCAAATTTAAAATCGATTAATATTACCTGATATTTTATCGACTAGGTCACGCCAGTTAGACATTATTTATATAATAATATTATAATCCAAACATTGTATTTTTATAATTAGATTAATTATTACCAAATTATTCATCAATTTATTGAGTTAGTAAAAAAATGAATTATTAGATTAACAGAAGCTCGGTGTGTATATAATCATTAATGACAGCCAGTCTGAGAAAATCTGGCGAAAGGCAGATGCAAATGCCAGAATACATCATGTATTGTTTTATTGACAACTGCAAGTTTTACCGTGCAAAACAATGAGCCATGGCCCATGGGCAAGTTTAAAAAAAAATGTTTAAGTTGAGCTGGTTAAAAAGAAAATATACTTTGTCGATAATAATTTTATTAATTATTATTTATTAACATGGTTAAAACGTAAGCTTATACAAATCAACATATTTTGTTATCACTTACACAAAATTATTTCCAATTAGCTATTTTTATACTTTAAAAATTCAGGTACAACCACGATTTGCGAGGAGTGAAATATTTTTACAAGTTATAAAAAACCAGAAAAATCGTAATTTTCAACTAAACCCTACACCAAAAGAATTAGAATATTAGATTAAAGTAAAACTCTCAAAGAAACTAATCGTATAGTGTAGTAAAAATATAAAATACTCGGATCATTATGTTTACATTAATATGAACTATAATGTTATTATAATATATATTGATGCAAAGATACCAAAAATTAATTAGTTATCTACGTATCTCTAAAATAACCACAAACAATTAGGTTTTTTATTTTGGTGGAACATTATTATCATGTACAATTAAGGATATTTTTGTATTATTTTTTGGAATTAAAATGTCAAGTTGTAACACAAAAACAAAATTTAAGTTATTGAATAGCAGCAGTATATAAACTTTGTTTCAAAGACGAGCCCATAATTCATGTTCACTAACAGATCTACTCCGTCATCATAAATTAACAATTTTTATAATTTCAATAATATATTCAATAATACCTGATAAGACTACTCTCTCAATAACTCCTCCTTCTTTTTCAGAAATAATCGTAGATCCTGTATAGATTGCAGGGAGATAAAATGCACATCTTTAAAATAAAAAACATAATTATTAATTATTATATTACTTATATTACTTAAACCTAGGTTACAAATTATATACTCATAGGCATGCACAAGGTTTCTGGTCAGGTATATCAAATATAGCCTCCCCCTCCTGCTACCAACCTAATGATAAAATAATGGTAAAATATTTTTGAGTTTCTATTCAAAGTGCATTATTATAAATACTTACAGTGGCGTAAAACCCAAAGATCAGGAGGGTCACTTGCCAATCCCCCTCAAAAAAAAAAAATTAATTTGGTGACATAGTTGGTGTATAATATGATGGATCCTAATAGCTGGTATAGTCGTAGAGGATATATACTTATATAAATAATTATATTGTAAATGCGTAATATTGGTTGATTAACTTATAACGCAGTTAATAAATAAATATGTTTGGAATTGTAGATGATTAATGTTGGTGCTGGTTGGTAAATTTCTATGTTTTCAAACAGTAAAAAAAAATGATTTAAATTTCACTATGTATTATTCAAACATCGATACTTCGAGAAAAACATTCATTTTTTTATTTATAAAAAATCCAGAAACACAATATAAATACTTATAGCATAATGTAGTATGCCGAACATTATCTTTCTATAACAATCTTATTTTTAAAATTTGAATTTTAAGTACTCCGATAGACTTCAAAAATAAACAGTAGACGTACTTTGACGAAACATACAAAATGTGAGTCTCTACTTAATTAAAATATCATTAGGTATACATTTTTCATCTAAGTTAGAGTATTCTTGTCTTTTAGGACAGCTTATACTTCATATGTAGTCCTTTTCCCCTTAAAAATCCACGACGACCCATATAATTAGCTGGGTTAAATTTTTTTTTGCTTAAGGACAAACACATTGTATAATGAGTAATGAAGATAATATATGGTTCTGAGTCAATGCACTTCTTTTTAATTCAAGTGAGGTCGGGTGGATAGTAGATTAATTTCGTGAATGCTAACAAAAATTATTTTGAATTTTATATTTGATTATAACTAGATACTATCTTAATTTGTGTTATTATATAATCATCAACATGGACATAACATTATTTATCATGCATCCTTTTCTGAACAGTTGATTTTTTATTTTGTAGCTGATGCGATCAGGTGGCAACAAAAGCACGCGATTTGCTGCCCCTGTGCTCATACCAATAGACAATGGCTATACTTACAGTGCTATTATTGCAGGCGACGCGTAATGTATAAAACTTGAATTTTTGTTTCCATAAACAGGGTCGAGGATCTACAAAAAACATAATATATAAAAAAAAAAATTATCATTATTATATAGGTACCAAAAGGTATCATGCAATACCTATGAATAATTTTATTATTTAATATTTATGACTACTGAGTACTGACAGACCAATATATTATTATATTTAGCGAAATAGTCATGAGTTCATGACGCGCGAAAAAACGGACATGCTACAAGGTTTGAAATTGATTTTTAAATATCGGTGAAAATGTTAACAATCTTCTGAGAAATCAAAAGTAATATTGCTCGACTTGCTATGCAACATCACCTCAAATTTGTCACAGGGTAACCGCCATATAACCACTATTATCGAACTTATTGCTTCCAGTGTTTTTAAAATTAAATTTATAAAATAAGACCAAAGATGAAAAAAGAGTGACAAAAGACCACGTATTCTTTTGTCCTTTTACCAATAAAATCAACATTTTCTTCACCTTCCTCAAAATGTATAGGTACCAGGTACCTACTAAAATTAAAAAAAAATAATTCGATAATTTATATCAAAGTAATCGTTTTATTATTTTTATATTAAACAAATCGATTAATAAAAAAATGTATTTTAACAAAAATTTTTATCGTGTTGACTATATCTATAATATTGTTCAATAGTAGGTAGGTGTTAAATAATAACATTAACAACTAATATTTTGTTTAAAATCTAAGAAGGCCCGTTTCAAAACCACGTGTAACGACGCATAGGGAACGCACGAAAGACGACTGGTTCGTAGTAGAAATAAAAATAAAAATCTTAAAAATGTAAAATTGATATTTAAATAAAAAAATCTAATTATGTTTGAAATTTAATTAAAAATCAGAAAACAATTAAATAAATATTGAACAAAAGTATATAAAATCAGTATACTATTTTAAATTTAAATTTAAAAAAAAACTAATATTGATAAGCAAAAATCAAATTAAAATCGAAAAATGTCATATCGATTTCATATATTATATTATGACGTGTAAAGTGATAAAATGTAAATTAATATTTTAAAATCGGAGGTCAATGGAATAGTTTTTAAAAATGTATTTTAACTAGAATTTTATAACTAATAATGGCAGGCTTGTAAACAAATTCAAAATATTATATAAGTAATAAATTGTAAAGAATGCATATACGGTACCTACAGTGATAATTAGAATAAAACATTCGAACATTAGAACATAAGATATTTTTTAATAAAATGTTATTTACTGTTTATGGTTCAATAATTGTACATGTTTTTATTATATTTTTTTCATAGTAATATTACAACTATATTATTTTATTGGCGAAGTGCCAACATCTCAAGTAGCCGGTATAGTGGCACAGCGTATTAATCATTGCATTATAGGTACCTATGATCTAACCTACCAACGAAGATAATATAAAATAAATACGTCGAGGACAATAATATTATGTAAAATACAATTAATAATGCGTATAAATTATTAGGTAGGTATATAGCGATATAATATTATTATTAAATAGTCTGCCCTCGAAAATCATCATACAAATAATAATATATGCCTAAACACATAACTATGTAGGTATAACAATGTCGCCGACTTTACCAATTACATTATTTATTTGTCCATCCAAAATTATGTAACTATACGAAATTATATTATTATTGCCATCGGTGATGTCGTACTTGTTGGTTTGTGTGGTGCACATTATTAGAGATCTAATTTTAGATTCTGAGCGTAGTGATGAAATGTACCTATAGATTTTAAAATGATAGGTACCTATGTGTTTTGAAATTTTATTTTGTGTCCGTGTACACGATAAGTAGTCGAAATAATGCTTCAATTTTCAACTTCAGTATCTTTTCCGATGGGATAGTGAATTTAGTTGTTGCATAGTTAATAATTTAAAAATTCCAGTAGTTTTCATAAGCACCGGGAAAGACGGTTTAAGAAGGTTTTAAAAAAAATTAAGGAAAATAGGAATTTTTACGCCAAATATGTTTTCTACAAAATGGTTTTTGGTGTAACTCTAAAAAAAATACTGTAGAGACATGAAAGTTTCACTGGATATTTATATTAGCATTTTCGTTATACAGCATACATTTTTAAAAATATTTCACCTCGTGTTGAGCTATTACTTATAGGTATATGCAATTTTCGAATTATATTAGTTTTTTAATTAATGTCGATAAAAAATGTTTGCTCGGTCAAAAAACTTGAAAATATAATACAATTGAATATGATTAACTCGAAATCGTCGATACCTTGAACTTTTTGGCCGGTCCCTTCAAAACTTCGTATTAACCAAGTCCGACTGTACAAGGTTCCTAGTAAGTTTTTGTAAGTGGAAATTGAAAAAAGTTGAGCGTATATCTACAATATTTTTTAATGAACAACTGAAGTTTGAATTTTGACAAAATTCGTAAACATCACTACAATATGGAAATTATTGTTAGTTAGAAATTTATAAAAATATTTTTTTTATATCTATGATTTGAAAATTTAATAAAAAAAGTCTCCATAAGTTTGTCTATCTTTATCAAAAAAAAATATCTACTTTACAGTCAAATTAAATTGTTATGAGTGTTTGAACTTTGAAGTTAAATTTTTTACAACATTGGATATTCACTCGATTTCTCATGGAATGATTATCTTATTTTGTTGTAATTCAAAACCGAATAACCGCAGATACTTTAAATTTAAACCATATTTTAATTATAGCATTTCCTATACTTGATAAATTTTTAAAATATTTTGCCACGTTTTTAGTATAGTTAAAACTTAACAGACATTTGATAAGCATCCTCATATATTCTTGAACTATCTGCAGTTTAAAAATATTAAAAATAGGTACAATGCAAATTTTTTTTTATAAGAATTCAAAGCTCAAATGTTGACAAAATTTATCAAATTTAAAATGTACAAATTATTTCGTAGTTAAAAATGTATTAAATATTCAACTTTTAGAGCTAATGGCTGAAAATTTAAAATAAGGTTACACTTAAATAATTTATTCTGTGACCAAAAATCAAAAAAATATATATTGTAGTTATTTTAAGTTAAAATTTGGACAAAATTACATAGGTATTAAATAATATATATTATAATAATTTTTTGTTGTAATTTAAAAATATTATTCGCGGGTACCTACTTGAAACTTCTAAAGTATAATATTATTATATACAAATATGATAATACACAAAAAATTTTAGTTAAGTTTACCAGCTACAATATTAGGTAATAATATCAATATAAATATAGTATAAACTATAAAATATCCTAGGCTGACAAACCATCTACGCTCAGAATCATTTTTTTTATACCTACAATGATATCATTGAACTCAAATTTAACACCATCCATATCAGTGACCTACTGTACAGCAGAGCCACACTTTTTACACCACCTTACCCCTTTTTTTTGTTGACATTATTCGGTCATTCGGAAACCGTATAGAGTAGGGTGACCATACGTCCCGTTTAAAACGCGATTGTCCCCTTTTTGATCATCATGTCCTGTTGTCCCGACAAACATCAAACGGGACGCTTTTTGTCCCGTTTTTAGAAGATGATCCCGTTTTAATCGCGTTATCTCCATATTATTATATTCAATATTGTTATGTGTAAAAAAATAATTAACTAAAGAAATAAATATAAAACAATATAATATAGGACTACGGTAAGAAAGATGGTGTGGTATCTACACAATTTTAAAAAATAAAAAAAATTTATCAACAACTTTTGGAAGATTGTAGAATATTCTCTAATCTCTATCAATGCCAGGAACTAATGCAAGCAATAGAAAGAATATTTTCTATCACAAACGTGTTATGGAAGGACGAAAAAAATTGCTTTCTTGTACCTACTATCAAAGCAAAAAATTATAATTCTCAAAAAAAATTTTAAAAAAATATTCCTGTAATGATTTTTATACTTTTTCGTTAACTCGACCAAAACTGTTAAAAGCAATCAGGTCATCAGAAAAATACGAATCAAAAGATTGTAATTCAGAAAATGACGAGTAATCAACATAAACACCAAAGATAATAAGAATACTTTGACCAATTTTTCTAAGCTCACACCAAAAACTAATCCAAACAAGACGTGTTTTATTAGAATATTAAGCTTATTCAACATTATTTAAATTATTGTAAAATATAAAATGTATTACAAAATTATTAATTTTTTTTAAGAGTAGGTATCTACCTAAAACTGTTTGTCCCGTTATTTTTTTTTTTTTATATAAAAATGGCTACCCATTATTTGAGAAAAATATTACTAAATCAAAAATTTAAAACTGTATAGTAAGAGCTGCAGTCTACTTACCCGGATTGGTGAGTTGCCGATTCTTTCTGATACATTACATTTGTTGAAAAGACTATCAATCACGTCAGTGTAGCTATCGAAAATGTCCCTTTTGATCATGTCGTACATATACTTATCTGAAAAATAAAATGTTCTATTGATGGAATATTCATTATTGTATAGTGGTTCCGTGGTAAAAGTATTATTCATTTAATGCGTGTTGGACTTAATTGACAAAAACTTTGTTTCGGGCAGCCGAGGCCGTCAATTATTAAATTATGGGCTGCAGTAAATTTTACCTCCATACAGTGGCGTAGCCAGGGGAGGGGTTTTGGGTGTTTAACCCAAAACCCCCCATTGACCTCCCACCCCTAATAAATATATTGTTTATAAGGTTCAGTACTGCTTGTATATGTTTTACTGTAGTGGTCGTAGATTATTTTAAATAAGCTATAAATTTGTCTTAGGAAATGGTGAAATTAAATACAAAGATTGAATTTGTATATTTTTTCATAAGAAAAGTGCATATTTGAGCGATTTTTAACATATTTTTAATTTGAGTGTACATTCGATTGTCGGGAAAAATCATATTCTTATAACATTGAAAAACATCTTAAAAAATATTTTATTTGGAAGAAATGAAAATCAGTAGATACGTGTTTCGCATATCACGTATTCGTTATACTTATTATTAACATAGTATTTAATGCCAGTATTTTTAAAAATTAAGTTGTGTTATTTCACAATAGTTTAAAAATGTCCAAAACATGCAATAGTATCCTCTGTCCATCATATTAATCAATATAGGTACCTACAATATTCAAATTAGTATACCCGTGTATAAATTATTTTTATCATGTTTATATACATACTTATTTTTTATTACCAAAATCGTAATATGTTTTATGCATTTTTCAAAAATAATATCAAAATGTAGCTGAATATATTTAAGCCAATTTTGACTGCATATTTCGATTATTTTTAGTGCAACAAGTCAAGTCCCGAACCCTAAATTTATTTATATACAACCCCCATTTCATAATCCTGGCTACGCCACTGCCTCCATAAAATTATATTTATCCAAAATATGTAGGTATGTACCAATAAAATATATTTACGTATTGTACCTACATTATAATTAAAAACAATTTTAAATTTATTTTAGAAAATGTATAGAAACGTTTAATTTTATCATTATCATTAGTAAGAAGGTAGTTTTGTATTTTGATTTAAGAACAACATATTATCTATGTCAATTTTTAATCAAATTACTAACAATAGCTACTAGTGTCTATTAAAAATGTATAACAAACGAAATATAGCTTATCTACACCTTTCATATCTTAGTGATTAAAATAAACTACTATTATAGTCCTTAAAAATTACTTATTTAATTTACACTTACTATCGAAAGCATCACTTGTGGTTACCCATCTATGCATCTTTAACGTTAATCTATTTTATTAACCTATTACATTCTTACTTGTATTGTCAATCCACGCCTGGATCGATCCCATGTCAAATATGTTGTTGTCCGTGATATCTCCGCCTTCATTAAAACGGGTTGCTAAGTTACTACTGAAGTTTTTTTCGAAACATGAAGGAATCCCCAGACTTGTTTTCTGATACTGCATACTGGCCGTCATCTGAATTGGAATATTCAACCTGCAATGTGAAAAAAAAGAATATAATATACAGTGTGATTCACTAAGCATGCTCATTTTTATATTTTTCAAATTCTGATTTTAAAATTCTTAAATAGTCCTACCTCAAGAATCAATAAAATATTATTTTAAAATTGTTAGAGATATCTTGTTCTACCTACTTAGTGTCTCTCCCCATGAGTCTAACCGTACTTGTCCTGTAGCGATACAAGCTTCTGATTTTCAAATGAGAACCTCTATTTTACTTTTAATTATTTAGTGGATAACTTTTTTTAAATTGTATGTACCTAATTCTAAATTCAAACGAGTAGTTTTTCAGTTATTAAAATGTTTATGTTCAAGATAATAGTTCCTAAATCCTAAAAATAGTTTTACAAAAATAAAAATAAATGTAAAATTGGAATTATTATTTATTATATTATTTTAACTATATTTTTATAAATTATAAATATTGATGGATTAATATAAAATGATTAACATTACAAATTACCAACTCCCATCTTCCAAACCCACAATAGAACTGTTATCTCTAGTACAATAGTATACAAATTTAAATAACTCAAAACTACTAGTTCGATTTTGAGTTTGATTACTTCAACCATTCAAGAAAAAATGATGTCACTAGGTAAATAACGGACAATAGAAAGAGAGTTTTTCATCTTAAAAAACAGAAGTTTGTATCTCCACAGGCTACTTCTTGCGATTTCTGGAGATATCTTTACAGTTGTACTATTTAACTCCTTAAGTAGGTATAGTAGAAGAAATATCGAGAAGGGAAAATAAATATATTTTAAGTAACTATAAGGATCCAGAACCGGCCGGTCTATTACATACTATAGATGTAAACAACTCCAAAAAGCATATTTTAGATCACCCTGTATAATACTTATATAATATTGGTAAATATATTATATTAATTCGACACCTTAATTGCTTATAGGTGAATCCAATATTATTTTTTTCCAAGCTATATTAACGATTTACAAACTCGTATAAAAGACTGCTATAATATATACGTACACCAGCAACAACAATTTGTTTTTCTTAAATTCAGCTCAAATATGACTTGGGACAGCGTTATAAACAGTGGTACGTACATTTTAATATACGATTGTCACATCCAAATGTGGAAAAAGACATGAAGACAACATAGTTCAAAATAGGTAGTTTGTGTATTCGAAGGTCTCCCGTAAAATTATGTTAAAAAAAAAACGTAGAAATATCTATTGCATTATACATTTCGGCATTGAACTGTGATAATATTATGTGATTGTAATTTACAGTGTTACTTTGCCGTTTACCGTGTCGATATTTATTATTTATCTCGAATTACGTGCGCAGAATTTATTCTGGTTTCTCATCGTTGACATTTTTATTCGCCAAATAATATTATTACCAATAAGTATTATTATTTTTATTATAACGTTTCGAAGTTCGTCAAAAACAAGCTGACATCTCACATTGCTGTAATTTGATACGGACAATGTTTTATAGTAACACTCTCGATTGCTTTTCGACGAGTTATTATAATATATTACTATGCATGTTAGTATGTACCGAAAAAAGGTTTTAAAATTATAAATATTATTTGTTTTTGGTATTATTAATTACTAGGTGATCCTCCACGACGTTGCCCGTGGATTTAGCCATCCTTAAACTCCGTAAAATGTAGGTATACTGCATTGCTTTTTGACAAAATATAAAATACAGGTCTAAAATGAAATCCAATTATAATAACTAATTTATATTCCATAACCATATGGAAATAATATATATTATTATAGTTAAAAAAATAATAATTTTTCGTGAGCCAACAAATCTCTGTGTGAATCCCTCTTTAAAATGAAAAAGTTAAGAAATGAGCAACCTGTGGTACACGTAGCACTAGTGGTATTCGGAAAGCTCATAGGTGATACCCAAAGAAAATCTCCCTTTATAAAAAAAAAAAAAAATGGATCATTATTTACATTAAATATTATTTAGTTTATTAGATATGAATAATAATTTTGTATATTTAATTTTCTTTTTGTCCATTAAATGCTTATATTGTCATAATTTTGTAGTTTTTAATAAAATAAAATTCCATTCATGCAAAATAACATATACTAAATTGTTGATACGCAAATAAAAGTTATTTGGTCAAGTGGTACATTCAAATTTTTAAACTGTGTAGGACGTAGGTGGTACGTGGATAAAATAATGTTGAGAATCGCTGCTATAGTGAGATAGACATGACTGTGGATCGATTACACAGTTTACACGTTTCCTTTAATTATATATAGATCCATGTAGTCATGTTCGAGTGCAGGCAATCGACGTATTGTTGATTATTATTACTTATTATTTTATTATAATATAACTACCAAAGTGGCAGCGAAAAGGTAGTGACGACCGATGTAAATGTCGTGGGACAAGGGTAGGGAGAATTTTCTTTATAGATCTTGCCGGTCGAGGTGCTGCCCTCACGATCAATATAACTAACAAAAACTTTTATCATGAGTTATACAGGTTGAAATGCCGGAAAAGTTTAGGAAAATATTGTCAAAGACCGTTTCTTAAACAGAATACTATCGAAAATGAAATAATAATAAATTTATAAATTTACAACTTACCTGAACTTTCAGAAAATTAAAAATGTTACTCAACCTTAAAATAATTTAAAAGTATGTATAAAAAAATAGATGAAATAAACAAACGGTGATTTTAAACCAAAACAATGTTTAGTAATACATTTAGCTATAATATGACCAATAAATAAGGACTTATTCTAAAAAAAAACTTATTCTAAAACTAATTCTATTGCAACTACGGTTGTAAAACAAAAACATTTTTATGATTCATATGTTTTCCAAGTAAAGGAAAAATATCAAGTAGCTTGCATTTTTTTTAACTTTTTAAACACTCGAAATTCGAATAAATAACTTTTTGAACACAACATTCAAACCAAAGACCCGCGTCCCCTCTAAAGTCATGGAAAGTGCGTAGATCAAAAAACTTTCAAACGTAAAATCTGTGTAAGCAGTAATGAAAATATCTGTCTGTAAATATTACCAATTCGAAAGTCTTTTCTTTTAATCTTTCCAACACCAGGCAACTGACCGGCACGCCTCCGTCCAAAAAACAATTTTTTGTCTGCATCAATGAACACGTACCCGTTTGACTTACAGGCTCATCGTTTAATATACCCAATGTCAAATGTTTCGGATCATGGCCACATGCGACGTTGAATAATACTGTCTGTATCAGTGGTAAGAAGATCACAAATAGAGTAAACCTTTATAAACAGTTTAATAAAACAAAGTAAACCTTTATAAACAGTTTAAATAAAACAAAATATCGGATGAAGAAGTTAATATGAAGTAGTATAAAAATATTATATAGAGGGTTATTCTGCAATCTTGCTCACACCATTTTCTCTTATAATAATGAAATTGTTCAAATTCTGATTTTTTGAATTTTTAGATACACCAAAAGAGCATATTATTTTCCAATTCTGAAATTTGTTTGTACTACCTATACTTAAAGAGTAGCTATTCAAACTTCTGTTATTCAAATGAAAAACCTTCTTTTTTACTGTAAACTATTAAGTGGATACATTTTTTGAAAATGTTGATATATCTTAGGCTAATTCAAAATTCAAACGAGTACTTTTTTAGTTATTCAATTTTATTTTTAGGATGATTAGTTATAGTCTTAAAAATGGTTTTACAATAATATAAAATAGATGTAATATTGAATCTAGTATTTATTACACTAGGATCATTTTTAGAAATCATTAATGTTGATAGATTCATATTATTCACTAAAATTATAAAATCCTCGTAGCCTCATATCTTCCAAACCCATTTTTATGGACCTAATGACCTTAGTGCATAAACTAAAATAACTAAAAAACTAGTTGTTCGAATTTTTATTTTAGTACCTACGTCAAATAGAAAAACAGAAGTTTGTATCTCTCCAGGACACTCATCCTTATAAGTATCTAGTACATAAAAATCTTCACAATTGGAAAATGTTACCTTAAATTGTATAACTATTTAAAAATTCCAAAAATCAAATTTTTAAATACTACATTATTGAAGAAAAAAATGGAGTTGCATTTTTGGTGAAACACCCTGTATATACATTAATAATATTATATTATAATATTGTACTCACGGTATGTTTCTTCTCAACAGGTAAATGTTTTTACACACCTGAGCTTTGAAACGACCAAATGTGAATAATGTGTTGTTTAACAACGGCGGTGGGGGCAAATCTCGAGCGTAAGAAAACCTTCTTGTAGGCTGTAGGATGATAAGCACGAAATATTTAATAGAAAATATTAAATCGCCAAAATAACGTAGTCATATAGATTATTATATGTACCAATTGTAAAAATTATTATTATGTCTACGTAAACTGAATAAAAATAATATTATATTAGTTTATGCACAGTGCGTGTCGCCTTTCAACGATCGATTGTACATAATTAAAATAAAAGGTTAGTATTATATATAACAGTGCTGGTCATAAACGGTATACATAGGTACCTTACTATTTATTTAAAAATAATAGGTATATTATAATATATACTGAACATTGATAAGTAGCACATAACATGATACGCTAAAATAATTGACAATGATGGGTTAAGTTTGTATAAAAAAAAAAAAATGCTTAGGCATAAGAAAATAAAACAGCAAGTGACAATGGTACCTATATATAAGTATCAAACATTGATTATTATACCCATATGGCCATATTTACTTATCACACAGGGAAAATCGTTTTATATAATATATATATATTATTTAAAAAAAACTGTATTGTTCCGTACTTGTTTTACTGGTATTTTGAAACTGTTTGTCTCCGCAACTTGGTTTTGGCAAATCTTCAAAAATGCTTCCTCCAAATACGAACAATTGCATGAAGTCAATAGTTCTGTTGGGGATGCTTCGGAAAGAAGAGTACCTTTTCTCATCAGACCAATCTATAAATAAAGTATATTTGTTGACATAATATTATGTTTGTTTAATGTTTATATATTACATTGTACTAAAGAAAGTTGATAAAAACTCATCTCACCATTTGTGACTGTTTTGCTTCTTCGATATAGTGCGTAGTGATTATCACTGTTTTACCTTCATTCGATGTCAGATCCAATAGAAGTTCCCAAATGCTAGAAATCCAAATTTCAGTTAGTACAGGTACAATAATTACATACATTTATTTTCACTTAATCTCTTATTTTATAATAAATAAATATAATTTAAACTGACTTTCTAATTTATTTTAATATTGTCACACTGTATAAATATAATATACATAATTCACATAATTTATACAACATATTATATGATATGGGTACATAATATATATTATGTATTAACCATTATGTACCTATGTAGGTAATATATATTACCATGGAAGTCACTAGGATTTAATAGCTATACCTACACCGGGGCTAGAATCCTATAAAATCAAAGAAGTTAAAAATAAGCCAAAGATGAAAAGCACCCCTCTCGCTATTAAAAATAAAATGTAACATTAAAATAAGTATAATATGCATAAAATATATAATATTTAACTGTATAATACTATAATATGTGTACCTAGATGCAAATGTTTTTAAGATATTACTATCGATTATCTAAAAAAACAATTCTCTATATATATTTTTACCATAACCAGATCACTGAATCGGTTTAGGTTATGGTCGACCTGAAGTATGTTTTGATTCTTCTCGTTCATAAGCTCGTACAATGAACATCCACAATATTAAAATATTAATATATTATATGATATAATAATTATTAAATATTTGAAGTATACATTAAAGTATTGAACCTATTACAGTTTTTTTTATGTAAGGTGAGGTTTTAACCAGGAAGTGCTAACAAGTAAAAACATATAGGGCGACTAAAAACGACTATGGGGGGGGGGGCTTAGCCTCATAGCTTCACCTACTTTCTTAATATGTGTATTACCTATGGTTACAGAGCATAAACTATGTACAATGTACATTTTGTATTGATACCTATTATACTAATGTAAATATGTACCTAGTTTATTAAATTCAGATTTAATTACCTTTGGCTAATCAAAGGATCCAGGCCAACTGTAGGTTCATCTAGAATTAACAGTTTTGGGTCATGGAGCATCGCTACTGCAAGAGACACTCTTCTTTGTTGACCACCACTTAGTAAAAAATCAAATTGATCACAAAATCGTCACATTAATTTGTAACGTTAATAGTGAACCACGTTTGTCAAATTTCCTACTACTTACCTAATCTCGTTTAGACTTAGACTGTACGATGGCAATTTCAAGAGCTCCTTTAGTTCTCGGCCTCTTGTTTCGATAACATCATTTGACAAATTAAATATGTAACCATAGTACGTGAACGTTTCCTTTATGGATAATTCATTGTGCAATGCCAATTCCTTTAGAAATACAGATGGAGGTTAAATAAAAATAAATAGATAAAATAATTTTCGTTAAGACGATTTAGTGGCATTACTTGTGGCATATATCCGATGTCGGATATGTGTTTGCCTTTGAGTTTGATCTCTCCGGAATCTAAATGTAAACGTCCGACGATACAGCTCAGTAGAGTCGTTTTTCCACAACCACTGGGTCCCAATAGCCCGTATCTGAAAATCAACAACAGGTACAAGTTAAGTTTTGTCCGAATAAATGGTTTTTTCTAATAAATTCCGAATTTGAATATTTGATACATAATATTATAAATTATGATATAGTCATATAGATACAAATTTCATCATTGCAATTCATTATGTGTCAAACTACAATCATCGCTTTGATAGTTTCGTATTTCCCTTACGCCGTCTAAAACGAAAATGTTTATTAGATACATAAAAAGTAATAGAAATCGTTTAATATGATATTTATGAATAATAAACTTGATGATGAATAGTTTTTAGCCACATTTGTTACTATCATAATTTTATATTTTGTTGATCGACTTTGTCAAAATGATTTTTTTTAACTGTCTCGTATAATACTCGTCCACAGCGATTCATTGACTACCTAGTGTTTTATACTGAATACAATCATATAATCGTCTTTGCCTATTGCACAATCAAATGCTAATTGTAAAACCAATACTGATTTTTATGACTTTTAATATCCAATTTTCAAATCGAGTTGACATAGTAAAACCGGGAAATAGATAAAAACCTAGTGGATTACGATCAAAAGACCACCAACAATATTTGATTATTATAATATGATAGTATGCAATTATTAAAATAATTATTAACAAATCGATTAAAAATAATTACAATATTATGATTACTATAAAATGCATGGCGGAGTGTTAAATATGTATTAGTTAATGATTACAGTCACCTATCAATGTAAAAACGAACGCGTTCTTTTTTTTTATGTACATTATGGACATTTTATAATTCTACGTAATCATAGGTGAACCACTCTGCACTCGTACCATATAATATTCACCCAAACTTGGATAATGTAATGAAAAATATTAGTACAATAATAAATTTGTCAAATGTATACCCAATACTTTTTATTGTTTAGAATATTATAAATATTATAAAATAATATATAAAATAATATAATATAATACGACTTAAGTTTCAGTAACAAGCCGGACAATTTCGAGACGTTCAACTACCAAATAATAATTAGTTTGCTACAAATGCATGAAAAAGTGAAAACAAATTGATAAACTTAATACCTACCAATCATTAGCCATTATAGTCGGACAACAATTCTTTTTATGTTTTTACTGTTATAAATGAATAATATACTTACTTAATAATTATTAATTACTAGTTACTACCAAAGTAGTTGTTCTATCATATAATAATAATATTTGTATTACAATTGAAACCATCTGGCGGTGGTAAACTTTGGTAAAAATAATAATTCAAAATAGCATAATATTATAGGTATACGTTTAAAAAAAATGTCTGATACATTATAATAATATTATGTTTGTCATCTATGACATTATAACTATTATTAACTCACGCAGATTCCAAAAAGCTTTTATTTATCGGTATATTGAACTATCTATATTCAATATTATGTATGTTTATACATTATTAAATAATAAATATATTAGGCAATATAGGTTTTTATCTAATACATAATTTTATTATAATAGGTAAATATTATACTATTTATTGCTTTCAAAGTTCAGTAGTCAGTGGTAGTGGTGGTACACTGCAGGTACTTAGCCTAGGAAGACCAGCACAAACATTGCAACAGTCAATCGATGTCTTTTAAAACGCTTATGACATTATGTCATAATTACTTTTAAAGCTTAAGCACCCACCCAACATTGACTAATACTAACAAAAAAATTCTCCAACCAATAATTAGGTAGGTATGAAATTTTTCATAGACAAAAACAAACTTTCGGTACCTCTTAGATCGATAATACTGTGTTATTGTACTGTACAAGCAGAGTTGGGCAAGATACTCAAAAAAAAAATATCTTAGCGGTAGCGGATTCATATTTTATAATGAGACCGAAAATTTCAGTTTAGTGCTTATCTATGTAGGTAGACAATTCAGGTGCTTATCTATGTATGACTGTAGATAGACATTCTGGATAGGTAATTATTATAGATAGCTGGTGATTTAATTTAATGTTTTTAAAATTATCTTACAAGTTATTACATTGTATTGTAATTTGTAAATATCTTCATTATAGTTCATTTCGGCTCATTTGCACCTGGACAATTTTTTGTAAAAATCCAATTTTATTTCATTTACTGTGACGATAACAACGTACTTGCACAATAAAATACTGTCGCTCACATTGGTGTGGGTAGCCAAAATTGTTTTTAAGCAAAGCCACCCTCCCAAAATTAATAAAAATTAGGTACCAAACCATTTATCAGCAAATAATGTATCGATTATTATGGTAATTTAAATATAAAACATTATAAAACGTGACTACAAGAAATTCAAATTTAAACCTATAATTATTGGCTAAAGCCTAATAATGCATCAACGTATTTAGGCTCTCGTCCCTAAAAACAGTCAGTCAAGACTCAAGACACCTTCTTTTATGAATACAGAAGACAATATGATAATATTAGATTTATATACCTATTTATTGTCAATGTATAATACGTGTTCAAGCGTATAAATCTCAATTCATCTATGCTCAAGGTCAGAATATATCCGCTTATACTTATATTTATTTTATTAGTTGTAAAAATTATCCAAGTATAATAAATATTAGATTCAATGTTACATCTATTTTAGATTTCAGTAAAACCATTTTTATGGACTTAAAATAAATATTTTAATAACTCAGAAAATACTAGTCCGAATTTTTAATTAAGTTATACCTTCATACAATTTAAAAAAAAATATTCACTATAAATACCTAATTAACAGTAGGTAAGTTAAGTCAACATTAAGAAGAAGAGATATAAGGACATAAGGTAATAGTTTTACAAACAGTCTATTTATCATTAAAAGTCTGAAGTTAATACTGAGAAAAATATTAACTTAATCAAGTTGATAAAAAGTTAATTAATTAATTTTTTTATATCACCCATGTGCAGCTGGATCACAGTATCACATAGGACTTATATAGGAGTGATTGCGCCACTTTTAATTATAACTTCCTATAGGTACTATAGCATGTTACACATGTTATACATTATACGTTAGAATCAATTAATATTAAGTTATTAAATCTTGACATTTTTGTTAAAATGTTTTAGTTACCTACCTATAGAGAACGACTCTCCTTATATATAAAAGGCGCGCTTTCGACGCTAATTCGTTTCTTCTGCGTGTGGTCTACGCCCCTCTAGTGCCGGTCACGTGACTATACGTGAGTATTAGGTAAGTAGGTATAGGTTATAGATAGGGTTACATAAATGTTACAGTACACAAAGGGTTGACAGAAGTAAAATCAGATACTAGTATTGCGGTATAAGAATGTGTATACCGAAAATACCGTCGATGGCGTCGACCCATCCTAACCTAATCTAGTATACGGTATTAGGTGTTTCGGTATTACGGTATATTATCTACCATTCAACCGTGGTATATGAGCAATAACCACGGCATTCCGGTATACCAAATAAACCGTCCACCCTAGATATCTGTACTCGGGTACTTACATTTTCCCGGTTGGAATAGTCAGGTTCAAGTCTTTGAGTATGGCCGTCTGACCGTACTGTTTGTACGCGCTCCTCACGACCACCGCCGACGAGGGTCGGGGCACGACCGCGGTCTGCTGCAAATTTTGGGCCGGAGCTTCGTCCACCAACGCGGTCATGTTGGTCACGGTGTGGTACACGAACAGAGTTTAAAAGTCTCACACACGAGTGTAACCGGGCGCGAGGTGTTGGGAAAAGATCTCTGGAAAAATGTAAGTAGGTACCGCGGAACACCGTCGCAAACGAACGTTTATTTCGGTGTATTACTATTGTTATTGACGACGACGATATCGCACTTTGATTTAAAATAATACAATAATTATGACATGGACGGCGCGAACGCAAAAACAGTAATAACGCGAATAATTGTCGACTGTTGGGGCATATTGCCACTGTTGCAGTTGTCGTGTACTGTCTCTAATTGCAGCCGTCGTCGGCACTTTGGGCGACGACCGACCGTGGCGCGCGAAATCGGCTTGCCCCCTCGACGATAAGTTTTTTTTTCGTACGTCACGTCTGTTGTACCACTCTACGCACACAATTCGATCATTATATTATTATTTATTATGTGTGTGTGTGTGTGTGTGTGTGTTGTATACGATATCCTGCGCCACGTACCGGCCAGGACGTGATCGAAATAGGTATAATAATATGAATGTGTACTTATAAATCGCCACACGAAGAATGTCCGTTTGCCGTTTGCGAATTTTTTATTCGTTCCAATCGACGCGACGCGTAATGCGTACCTACCTATATACCTAACCTGTGGTATATCGTACATAATATTATGATACTATGTACAACGACGTGTAGGCATATCGTAACATGTACATGTAAGTAAACCCAAAGCTAAGCAACATTTCAAATTATTCTATTTTAAAATTCATTAGAAATGATAGGTATATAGATAGAGTATAGACTCAATCAGTTCCAAATCAAATTAATAATTATTATATGTATCAACAGTTAAAGTTAATATTATTTTTTAAAGATAAGTCACACACTCATACAGTCATACATAACTATAAAAAATTACGAAAAGTTATTCCCTAATTATATTATGTATATTTAAAATCTTGGAAAACTTAACTAGGAAAAAAAGATTATAATAATCCTAAATATGACGATTTATTTCAAATTTTGCCAAGCTCTGAGTATAGTTTTAATATTTATGTCACAGTTTAAAAGTTACGTATCTTGGATTTATTTATTTTTTTGTGGAGAAGGGGAAATATGTAGTAAATATTTTTTACCTTTCGTGTCTATAAATATTATAGTGTGTGAGGAGGTGACACCCGTCTTCATCTCGAATAATTTGCCAATTATAAATCTATACGTGTAAACATTATATAACACGTAAAACATACAATTATTGACAAACACACTTATCTGTCTGGTAATATACTATTCTCTCCTCATATTTTCTAAGTAATACCCAACAACTATTATTACCACCCATATGTTTACATCGTCAGATCACCTATCAGGAATACTGTAAGTACCTAGTACATAATATAATACCTACCACAAAAACCAAATTTAAATATTATTTATTTCAGTATTGGGTTCCAATTTTAAAATTGTAGAAAAAAATTATATTTACTTACTATAATTAGTAATTAGTGCTCACTTGATAAGGACTTGTAAGAGTTTTAGGAGGGTCTCTGCCCGAATATTTGTGCCAATGCGCAAGTGTTGTCTATACCTTGAAAATTTACAACATATCGATCATATGTGCGTTACTCAGAAGTAAGTACACCTAAGGTATAAAACCAGATACCAATATTTTGTTTTGTACATTAGAGTAAATTTATATTGAGTTATTATCAAACTACAAAAGGTTGGAATTTAAAGTAAGGATGATCTGCAAAGTCTATAAGGCTATAACATTTTACAATTTTTGCACTACATGCTACTCTACTATTTAGTACCCTCCACCTTTCACTAAACAATATTTTTATTAGGTACGATAAATAATACTTAATTCATTTTTTTTCGTGTTCATTTTTATTTAATAGTATATACTTCCTCTGCCATCTAATATACCTGCCTGTTTTAATAAAGTGATTTCTAATATCAATGCAATGTGTACCTATATACATCTGAGTCAATAAATGTAGCTAATTCATGTAACAATAATTGTACAATGTACAATGTACATACTACATACATATTTAGTACATACAAAATCAAATAGCCTGTTTTAAATATGTTAAGTGCTTTGTTTAAAAGGAAAACAAATGTATTTATATTTAACAAACATTCTGTGGTAATTATACTGCGAAGTCCAACATTGAAGACAATATAATTTTTAATTTATTAGTTACTATGTATTAACTAATTATTCAAAACAAAAAATATATTATTATACCTATAATTTATTTAGCACCTGAAGGCAATTGATTAGTACAAACTAGTTATGGTACCTATTACCTATACATATTATAGTAAAGTAGAAAACCCAATTATAACATTATTGAGTAACTGCGTTAATATATTATCATATTGTAATAGGACTCACAGTCCGTTTATTTGAAATAAATAATTAAATAAATAAATAAATAAATAAATAATAATATTATTTTGTAGACTGTAGTAAGCCCAATCTTAGCAATAGGTGTAAGATAACACAGTTGGAAATACTAAGGTTAAAGTAAAAAGGTTAAAACACACTGTTTTCGGCAATGTGTACATAATTATTAATTACCTATCATCACAACCACCGTCTCAACTGAACTGATAAACGTGATGCGTCGTTAATAATTAATAATGCTTGAAAGCGTGAAAAGGGCTCATTAAAAATATATACCGGGTAATCTATATAACTTAAGACATTCATTATATTTATAACAATAACGTTTTAAAAAATATTTTGTGTGCATAATTTTAAGTCGTTACAATAAACAACATTTTTGGAAAAAAATAATATTTGTATTGTTACAATCAGTTTATAAGTTTCTTACTTTTTTGAATGGGAATATAATATTACATTGTTAATTTCATATTCCGAAGCAGAATATTATTTAGAGTATTTCGATTTATAAAAATAACATTTCGGACAAGTAGTTTATTCGTTATAAGTTATAACTTTATAAGTTGGTATTTAAAGTTTAGAGGAGTAGTGAACAAACATTTTTTGGGGTGCCTATTCTTGTACCACAAAGCACTCCACTTCGCACATCAAAACTTTAAATACTTATAAGTTGTAAATACAATATTATTATGATTCATAATCTACTAGTAAAAATTAGATTTTTATTCATCAAACTTCTTCAAAAAATATTCTGATTTTTGATAAAAAATACAAAATGTATGTTGTAATTAACCAATTACCAAAGTAAAGATAAAAAAAAATAGTAAAAAATATATTTTTCTTAGATAAATATTATTTTTTTAATGACTTAAAATATGTAAATATAAAACTTATTATGAAAAATAAATATTATTTAAACTAAAAGTATTAATGCATATTTTACTAAATTTTAGAGGACCATAGTTAATAAACTAGAGAACCGAAATTGATGATTTGACGATTAAAATTTTTAGAAAAAAAAGCTTTACTGGAATTCATTAAAAAATATAGATAGTTACCATTTTAAAAGTAAAGTTGATTTTGCTATTGGTACACCTGCGTGTTTAAAAATTTCTAAATTGTTATAAAATAATTGCCTGTTATAAAGAAATAAGTCTTATTTTTCCGTTTTAACGAAATTCTATGTCATCGATCCATAATCATTAAAAACCTCCACGTACAATGACATAAATACACCCTGTATAGTTTTCAAAATACTTTGACTGCTTATCGATTTATGTCTATAAAATTTTGAATATGTTTACATTAATACAACTTTCAGCAATTTTTATTTATCTGAAATTTAATAATATAAAACAAACTTGTCTCGTCATTGCATACCTACTATATAGTTTCTAATATAGGTATTATATTAATTAGTTGTACCTATATATAATTGTAATGCAAAATAACTCTCTGCCTTCAACACAAGTTTTGCTTTGATTATTGTTTGTTATTTTGTATGTATTTAATATATTATTTAATAAATTGTTCTTATTTGAAAAAAATAAAACAATGACCTACTCAGTAAGGTGAGGTATCAACTATGGTAACCTATACCTTACAGTAGAATGAGTTTCCACTTTTTTATGTGACCACGTACCTACGTTTACTGATTAAAATGAAACTTAGAAAAAAATCGTTTTTATTATATCAAATTTATTTTAACATTGCTTTTTCCAACATCTATACATAAACCATTCGATGACATTGGTGTTTTAATTTTATTTTATGCAGTGGTGATGGCGCTTCATTATTCTGTCCAGAAGTATTTATTTATTTATATTGCAATATAATTCGATCTGCTGATGTCGTTTTCGTTCGACATTCACTCATTTATTCTGTGCATTTTAGTGTAATTTAACATTTAATTATTGAAAATTATGAAAACTGATTCGGTAGGTATTTATTTTCATTTTTATCATTACTCTAATAATTGTTTTCCGTTATATGTCACACAATATACACAATACAAGTACATTGTACAGGTGCTTTACACATTTTAAAATAATAAGACGAAATGTACAGTAGTATTATACCTAATCAAGTTACTTAAGTGTTTAATATGAATATTAACATTATAATAATGAAAAGTTAAAAATTATATTTCCAATTAAATATAAATGTTACTAATTGTATCCTAAAATTTTTAGTATGATATTGAATTCTTGCTAGAATCGATTTATCACAAGACCTCAAATACTATAAGGTTGAAACAGATTTATTTGATTTATCAAAATGTTTTCCAACTTTAACCCAATATAGATAATCTAAGGAATTAAAGATGTCTGCACTTCAAAATTTATTCTTAACCAGTGGCGATTTTTTTAGGGGGGTTTTTTAATTTACGCACAAAAGAAACCTTTTTTCAAAGAAATTTAACCACGTACATAACCTGCGTATCTCTAAATTTTCAAATTGGTCATTACCGATGGTGGAAAATTATTATACTCATAGAACATTTTCATTTAACCCTTTATAAAGGCTTTTTGTTTGATCATATTCTGGTTATAGCCTGGTGGGTTTAAACATGTTTCCTGAGCTATT